ACAACGATGAAACTGATCAGCATGCCGCTGGTTGACAGAAGCCACAGTGGTCGACGACCATATCGTTCGGCAGCCATAGCTCCCAAAGCAGCTAGAATGGCGTTCCAAACTTGAAGGCCAAGATTGATGCCAGCTTGTGAGACTGGGTCTGTGACTCCAACGCTCGTCAGAATAGGTGCGAGGTAATAGGAGACGATGCCTAGCTTGAGTCAGTAAACATACTTCAGTCATTCCCTTGGTTCACTTACCATTTCCAGCCCATTGAATCATAAAACCGACCAACACACAGATCAAAAGCCTGTGGCGGTTACCCTTGGTCTTGAAGAATGACATGAATCCGATATTCTTCTCCATTTCGCGCTCTTGATTGATAACAGTGCAGATCTCCTTGAACTCAAAGTGAACAAGTTCATCCTCAGCATCACCATTTGCGTGGTACTTAATGAGCATTGCGAGGGCTTCATCACGTTTGTTCTTGGAGATCAACCATCTAGGGGACTCGGGGATAAAAGTCAGACCGATGAGTTGGAGGGTTGGAAAGAAGGCCTGGAACAAGACGGGAATTCTCCAGCTCCAGCTTCCACTCATGTGTAGTGTTCCAATAGTAACGACGGCAGAGAGAATGGCGCCCCAGAACCAGATGGCTTGGAACATGTTGGTGACGTTGGCGCGGTGTCTTGGGTGAGCGATCTCGGTGGTCAGAGGCGGGGCCGACGTTTGTGCGAAGCCAAGGCCGATACCAAGCATGATCTTGGTTCCCAGGAATGCCCATGGTCCATTCGTAGAAGCTTGGATTATAGCTGCTGCGATCATGATGGAAGAGCCGAAGGCGATGGTGAAGCGGCGGCCCATCCAGTCACTGAGGTATGCAGCTGGGATGAAGGCGGGGAGTCCCCCCAGACTGATGCCGGCAATTATGAGTCCAAGGATACTTGTGCTGACGTCTCCGATATTGTCGTGCCCTGAAATATGTCAGCGGACGTTGAGTGTAGAAGCACAAGAACTTACATTGTTTGATAGTCAAGAGTCCATTCATAAGACTTCCGTCAAAACTGGCGATGGGTCAGTACATACTGTCAACACGACAGAGGCAGGAAAGAACATACCCATTGGCAGCAGCAGATGCAAACATGAACCCAATGCCGATGTTAAGCTTTCTCAGGCCAGGGTCGTGCATCCAGTTCTCGTTCGTGTTGTTTCTGTATCGCTTATAGACAGCATCGCCTGGGTTACTTTCTGGAGAGGATATGACAGCCATGATGACGCTGTACGAATGATGGAGTTCTTGACAAATGTGTAAGGGGGGAAAAGAGTTCTGGTGGTAATCGGGGTCAGAAATGCTGACTGTCTTGGGTGTCTGAATTATAAAATAAGAGCCTTGCGATGTGATTTTTCAAGACTTCTTTGTGAGCAATGCTGATTTAGATAGAGAGTTTGGGCACTCACATGGAGCAATGCTGAGCTTATATATGTGTTTTCTGAGTTGAAGCATCGCCGAAGACCAAGTCACTTAACCATCAGCCCATACGTGACTGGTGACCTTCGGCTTTCGGATCATGAGAAAAGTTTTTAAGGTCTAGAATAAACTAACAGGGGAGGTCACCCCATGGAGTCAGATGCTATTCCCCAGCTTTCCTCCACAAAACCCGATGAATTCTCTTGTTGTCAATCTGGGGTTGAGCATCAGCTGAGCTAATTGGCGGAAGGAATTTCGGAAAGATTAGACTTGCCCTCATTAAGTGGGTCTTGACTATCGGAAAGATTCTCGGCAGGTTTTGGAAAGATTCTCGGGAGAATTAACAAGAGACAGCGCATGTGTTGGACGCATCATGTGTCCCTCTGCGGGCAGATTCTCGGTGATGACAGCGGAATCTCCATCGTGGCGTTCTTCACCCATGTTCAAATAGCCTCTGTCATTCCACCATGGACTCCCATTCATCTTCATTCACGCAAGCAAAATCATCAGTCATGCCCTCTGCAACGCAAGAAATCTCTAGCCCCGTCAGCGAGGCTTGGTGGAAGGAGGCTTCTGTCTACCAGATTTATCCTTCATCTTTCAAGGACACAAACAGCGATGGCATCGGTGACATTCCTGGTGTGATTGAGAAGCTAGACTACTTCAAGAACCTCGGTGTTGATATCGTTTGGCTATGTCCCGTTTATCCGTCGCCTCAGGTTGACATGGGCTACGATGTAGCCGACTACTGCGATATCGACCCGCAGTATGGGACCATGGCTGACGTCGAGCGGCTCATCGATGGTCTGCATTCAAGAGGTTTGAAGCTACTGATGGATCTTGTGGTCAATCATACCTCAGACAAGGTCAGGCAACAGTCACAGCGGACTTGGTACTCGCTAACACCATGCACAGCACAAATGGTTCCAAGAGTCCAAGTCGTCCAAAGACGGCCCTTACCGAGACTGGTATATCTGGCGAAAGCCTCGATACGATGAGAATGGAGAGCGACAGCCACCCAACAACTGGCTCTCCTATTTCGGAGGTACGTATTCTCAAAGGTTTTCGGGTTTTCTCGACGCTAACACGAGACGCTACACAGGCAGTGCATGGGAATACGACTCCGCCACTGATGAGTATTATCTCCATCTTTTCGCCAAAGAGCAGCCCGATCTCAACTGGGAGCATGCTCCCGTGCGCGAGGCCGTGCATGATATTATTCGTTTCTGGCTGGACAAAGGTGTTGATGGATTTCGGTAAGTCCCTCGCGTTCATGGCTTTGAAGCACACAACTAACTTGGTAGAATGGACGTGATCAACTTTATCAGCAAACAGGACGGGCTACCCGACGCCACCGTCAAGGTTCCTGGAGCCAAGTACCAGTGGGGCGACGAGCATTACGCCTGCGGTCCTCGACTGCATGAGTATCTTCAGGATATTGGAAAGATCCTCAAAGAGTATAACGCCTTCTCCGTTGGTGAAATGCCCGCAGTTCAAGACCCCAAGGAAGTCATCAAGAGTGTTGGTGAAAGTCGCGGCGAGCTGAACATGATCTTTAACTTTGAAATGTAAGTTAAGATCAAACCCGACAGACTGCTATCAATTTTAACTTTACGCAGCGTGGATATGGATCATGGCGATGGAGGAAAGTTCTCGCCACGCAAATGGGAGATGCAAGACCTGAAGAAGATTGTCAACAAATGGCAGACATTCATGTACAAGAACAAGGGCTGGAACGCCTTGTACCTCGAGAATCACGACCAGGCAAGGACAGTGTCGAGATGGGCGTCCGATAAGCCCGCCTACCGAAGTCTGTCAGCCAAGATGCTGGCCACATTCCTGTGCTTCCAGAGCGGTACAGTCTTTGTCTACCAGGGCCAGGAACTGGGTATGGCCAACATGCCCGCGGACTGGGAGATGACTGAGCATCGAGACCTGGAAACATTGAACCACTGGGAAGAGTAAGAGATTTCTCATCCGCGCTGGTGGGCGGTCGATAACCTGTGACCAGATTGAAACAGACAACAGGATCTGATGCGGCAGTCCTGGAGATTGCACGCAAGGAATATCAACTTAAGTCTCGCGATCATGCGCGAACTCCAGTGCAGGTAAGCACAAACGCTTTGCAGGATCGGGAGCCCCGTCTAACACGATGCCAGTGGGATTCTTCAACCAACGCGGGCTTCTCGACAGCAACACCGTGGATCAGAGTAAACGACGACTATAAGGAGTGGAATGCCGCCGCTCAGGTCGCCAAGCCAGATAGCGTGTTTGAGCACTGGAAATCCGCACTTGCGCTTCGAAAGGAACTGAAGAACATCATCGTCTATGGAGACTTTGAGCTTCTTGATGAAGATAACGATGATGTTTTTGCGTATGCGCGATCGAATGGGACACAAAAGGTTGTCATTGTTTGCAACTTCCGAGAACGAGAGATTTCTTGGTCCCCTCCGGTCGATTTACAGTCGGTCAAGGTTCTGCTTTCTAACTATCCGGAAGTTAATATGTCGCAGAAGACAGTTAATCTTCGTCCCTTTGAGGCTTTCGTTTGTCAACTACATTAGACTCCAGATACTTTGACCCAAGCTCAATCAGTATTTAAAAATCGGTGCCTAATTGAACGCAAAACTACAGTGAATTACGCCAGAGAAAATGAAGTTTTACCTGACTTGGGCAATTTTGAAGGCGCATATGACAGATTGGGAGCTTCACATTTGGTGAAAGCTCGATGAAGCATCAGATCAGTAGGAATATGAATAGTAATTTGCGATTCAGCTTGCACCAATAGCTATTCCTCCGCTTCGGAGATCTCCCCGAATAGCTCAGCTGGAAGAGCGTTCGGCTGTAACTGTTAACTGACACCGAAAGGTCACTTGTTCGATCCAGGTTTCGGGGAACCATCTTTTTGACGTTTTTAACGACAAGCGCAAATCCAGATTATAGTGTACACCGTCAGTAAAGTCTATCAAATTACAGTCCTAATCAGGCTCTATTTTTATCTGAACCTTTTTGAGTGAGTGGAAGAGCTTACACTACAGAAGAGCAGAGCTGTGCCGATGTTTCCCCGATAGTTCGCGAATCCCCTCCTCGCGTAACGCGTTATACTTCTCACTATGGCGTACGTGGTGCCGTGTGAATACTTCAATGGGCACAATGAAGATGCAATGCGCTATTTCAACAATTGAATGCTATCCAACCTTTGCGGTCACACGGATCCTCGCCCGGCGCATGTGCAGCTTTGCTACTTACGTCATCGTTTCTACGTTGCGCCCGATCGTTTTGCTAACCTCAAACTCCAAAGCAGAGCCGCCCTACGTGTCTCTTACGATTCCCTTCGCAAAAGCTACTATATGCTGTCTTCCTCTTATCATCCGGTTGTATTGAGTACTCGAATGCGCGATAATGACGGCTTTCGTTGCTTGTCAGGTGCTGGCACTGCCGCAAAGATGATCGCGACGCCCTCTGCACTGGCAAACATCTCGTGCCTCTTGCACAGCGACTTGAGCAATGAATCACCTGAACAAGCGTTTGGCGCCGCAGAAATATGCAACCTTCAAACGAGCAAACACCAGAGGTACGGGTGACTGCCGTGTGCTTTGGCCTGCCCGCATCGCCTTTGCGTTTGCACTCGCACTTACTTTGGCAATAGCGTTTGTTCTATGACCCTCTAATGTCTAATTCTTCAAACCTTCCGCTCTCCTCTCGCCGCGTGTGAAGCGATCGAATGTTTGTTTCCAGATCTCCTCGCATCCACGACCGATATTGCCTGGTGCGCAAGCCCTCCAAGCGACGAAAGATCACAGCGAAGGCTCGAGATCAAGCTGTTCAGGAATGCAGCCATGCCGAAATCTCAAACGAAGAAACTGCCTCCCGCCAAGGGCCTTGATGCTTCAAAGTCAAACGTAAAAGTAGGAGCACCAGCCCCGTACGAGTTTAGCGGCCGTGACTCAATCAACATCAGCTCGTTCGACCTTGCGCAAGTTCAGGAATCACTGGAGCACTCCGATGTGCCTTCGATGCGACCGCAGCTGAAGTCGCCCAGACGTTGTTCCCGTGAACTGAACCACCCCATGCACTGGCAGCTCCAGCAGCATGAATTCTTGATCTGGCGCCACAAGGCTTTACGGTCATCTGGTAAGACCGCGCGGAACTCTTCTCAATGTCAACTAACACCTCCAGTATCTCCTCACCCCTCCACCTTGCCTGCCCTCGAACCAACTTCGAAAGCTCCTGAAACTCTCCCGCTCGATGAATCAACCAGCAATTTACATCCCCCTTCTCCCGGCGAAAGCTCGACGGCATCTACGAAACCCCCGCTCCCGAAAATCCGTGTATCTCCTCCCGACGAAACTTCCAAAACCCCACGTCAACCGCACCCTTCGATCGAGAACCCCGCCTATCCGTGGGAAGAAGAAGAGCTTCGAGCTCTGGAGGAGCTGCGAAATGAACAACGGCGCTTGCATGAAGAAACCCTCGATGCGATGAGGGAAATGGCCTACTGGTCTTTCAGAGCGCAACGTGCTGCAAATCGAGTCAAGAAAACAATGTATGAACTTGGGAGCTACATGGGTGAAATTCGGTCTGAGCAGGAGGAAGGTCAAGGCCATCATGGGAATAAATGTAATGTCGCGCCTCCATCTGCGACGAAGTGAGTACGTCGAAAGATGGATCATAGAGATGAAAAGGCTCGGCCTGGAGAGTCACAACAGATCTTGATACAGAAGTATATCAGTATAATCCAGTTAATCGTAATTATCCCTTATGCGACTAGAATTCTACCTGGTGAAGTTCTATTTGACTGCAAGGCTAGGAACATCGTGCTCTGTGGCTACGGAGTATGAACTATAAAATGTCTACCTCAGAAAAAGCTAACAGTTGAGAGAAAGTTTACACAACGCTCGAAGGATATCTATGATGCCTTTAATTTTTAGCTTATCTGTATGTCGATTTAAATTAAAACCAATTGAATATAGTTTACAGCTAGATCACGCTTTTGTAGCATCACGCTGTCGCATTATGAGGTTGCTATAGGGTGAGAAACAGCTGCCCACGGTTTGGATCTAATGCATCCAATAACGGACTCTCACAGAAGCTTGGAAATGTCTTTTTTTTTTGGCTGTGCAACCGCGTCATATCAATTATCGTTCAATTACAGAGCAACTTCTACCTTGTTTTTATGTTTGCGCGTTGGTGGGCACCTCTTGCACTGTAGCCTGTCGCGCCTCGAGCAACGCGCTTTGTCCAGCATCAACACCAACACAAAACTGGACCAAGGCAGCCAAGACAGCTTCCGCGCAACCGCAATAATTACCCGACAGATAACAAAATGCAAGATACGCATCTGCAAGTTGGTGATGCCGAGATCATCTTCATGTGATGTCTGCCCCGCAATGCTGGCTGAAGTACCCGGAGTGATCAAACGCTGGCATTCGGTCATTATACCTCTTTGAGAACGCGCTGCTCTACACAGCAAACAAGAGCGTTGGGAGTGATCTCTGGGCACTACAAGATTGACATGCGATTCTTCTGCATTTGTCTCTATCGAGAAATGGCTTTGCGCAGCCTGATTTGACGTAGCAACAGCTCATTTGTCGCGATATTTTGTTTGTGCGACATGCAGCATCCACTCTATTGCCAAACACCTGCAGCGAGCAAACGGGCAGCGCGTATGCCCAATCGATGCCGCAATTGCTGGCACGACAAACCGACATACAAAAGCAATGGCCTCTGACTATCGGGATGTTTTCCCTGAATGTGGGAAGAGAAGTTTACGTGGTGAGGTGCGAAGAAAGAGACGCGACTGCCTTCACAATTAGGTCCAGGTAACTTGAATCGCACGAAGCACCACAGGATATCCAGCAGCTTGTCCTACGTTTGTTGCTTTACCGCCTGGACCGGAGCTTGATCCGGCACCGCGCATGTACAGTACGTATGTCTCAGGTCAACTCAATACATGTGCCTGTATGTGACACCAATGTAGATGGTGTTGACATTTGCCATCAGTACTGTGGTTGAGAGGTCGGTCGCGGTCTGTGTGTGATAACTGGTCACAGCAACACGACGCTGAGGATCCGGTACCCGTCATTACAGTCAAATGCGACATGGATAACCAACAGAGGGTTACACTTGTTTGCCAGCCGAGATGGTACACAAGCCGTTATTCACAATTGCTCTGAGGCCCCCAAAGCCACGCGGGAGATAACGCGGGGAGTCCCCTGTCGCGTACCTGGAGATCTGAGATCAACAAGACCCTGTAAGCTTCACCAAGTCCAACAAATCGAGAAGCAATCGGTTTTCTGTTGCTTTTATTCCTTGTTCTTTTTGTGAGTTCGAACCAATTCCCTGCTCCCTCTCAGTTCCGATATGCGCACATAGAGAGCATTGTAAATTTACAGCCGCGTCGCAGCAACCGGCCGTCAAACGGATACCGTCCCGAGCCCACAACGCATCCTTTCTTGCGCAGACTAGAGTAGCTTCCCGATCGCAAACATCATACGAATGGTCTGGGCGCGATGATGCATACAAGATGGGGAGACAGGGGAAATGAGAGTGAGAGGAGTCAGCACGGCGTTTGTTGTTCTTGGAAGCCTTAGCTCAGGGTCAACAGCCTTTCCCTACCATCATTGTAAATACACGCTCGCGACTTCGCCTTCTGTCTTATGCCCCTCGAACGTTCTTCACCAAGTTAAAGTCATTAGTCAGTTACAATGGAAAGCGTTTCCAATGTCCCCGAGAATTCGTCGCGACCGGAGAACATACCTGCATCGTCCCGACCAATATATCAACCGTCGAATAGTCAAGCTGGTAGTAGCTCTAGAGAAAGCGAAAGCGATAGATTGATTAATCAGCTCGCTGCGACACTTGGATATTCCCCAGTTAATGGTATGTTGAGCCTGGGTGTCCCCCATTGACCATGGAGATGAATGGGACGACCTTCAAGAGTTACTTACTCACTTTTAACCCTAGAAAGACGCTCTCGCTCGGGTTCTGCGCCGGAACGGCACCAGAGTTCTGGCTCTCGTGAGCATTCCCTTATGCCTAGTGCGCGGAGGGGCGCGACGCCATCACCCCCGCCAGCCCAGTGTGACAGTAAGTACTGCGATCATACTCCCGATAACACTACATCTGCTTCCTTTTCTCAGGATACGCCTGCCGCTCATAAAAACATAATATGCTGACGGTTCGGAATAACAGATCAAGCTTGGCGGCTCGTTGGCGGTCAGCCTGCGACTGGTCGTCTCCTCATCCATGCTGCGACCAGGGAGATCGAACGTCGACGAGAGCTGCAGCCAAACCCGACGTATATATCGGGAGAATGGTTCCCGGTTGAGAAGCTCCTAGGGTGGAAGATGTACGATGGGGACTGTGGTGATCAGAGTGAGATGGGCGGATGGTAGCCCTGATACCTGGGAGCCTGAGGAGATCATACACCCTAGACGAGGTCACCGATATTGCACTGGCTCAATGGGTTGAATTTGTTACAGGTCTCAATATTCTCGGTTGAGAGGCTGGAAACTACAGAACTATGTAATTATCATTTACTCGTCGATGGAACTCTCGACCTCTCCTCGGCTTGCATTTGGGCTGTTGGTTATTTGATGCGTGGTCGGTTTGAGACGGTTGAACGGTGGAGTTGTTACTTAATGTTATGGGGGTGCTTCAAGGCGTACCGCTTCTTCGGTCGCACCACATATTACACTTTCTTACCGTTTGCGAAAAATACAAAAATAGTCGCAAGCGAACAATCAATTGGCAAGTCATTGGTCTCTCCATCGTAAAACCCCGTATCTTCATGGATCTGCTGTCCATTCCTAGGGCGGATGTTGCAATTTCCGAGTGATCGACAACTACCGGGGCCCGCTAACCCCCCTGTAAATGCTTCAAAATAAGTCAAGTCCCCTGTTTCTTTGCAGAAATCGATGGAGACGAATGTCCTGATGCCCAGTGTAATGACTCGTCAGCGCCTAACGGTCGAAGATTATGCTTATTGAACGTTTCACCACCTAGCGCGATGCTCCTAAGACTTGGCTTTTGCTTCACTCCATCTTTATGATGAGTTACATGTAGTTTTTGTTATCTTGCATTAAACATGTTCATGTGGCTGCCGCGTGGGGGACTGGCATCTGTTTCCTTTTCCCTACTGAGATGTCTTTGCATTCTTGCTCGCCTCGCTGACCTGCAGCCACAACCGTTACGGCAATAAGCAAGATGATCACCGCGGACCTAGGAAGCAGGAAACCCGGGCCGTTCCTTGTCAATTCTCCCTGGCGTGAAACCTAGCACGAGCGTTGGAAGGCTTCGCAGCCGTTTCGCTATCAACGGTCCCTTTTAGAAAAGCCTTTCTCCTCATTCGCGGGCCCCCGGCATTTGCGTCGCACTTTTCTGCGGAGATCATGGACGATCTGTGAAGAAATTACCGCAGAAAAGGCATCCCTGCCTGCAGGAAAACGTACCCTTGATCCCCGCTTACTTCGGCTCTTGTGATGCAGACCAGAGTTTTGCCGCGCTCGTACTTCGTCTTATAGGCTTGAACAAACAAGGTTGAAGCATTAGACTATCCTCCAGAGTCCAAATGGAGCATTCTACGCCGTTGGAATACACCGTTGACGTTGCAACCCTTGACTGACTCGCAGCGATGCGAGAGTCAAAGGTCCCTGTGTCTGACCCACGCACGTGCCGCCTTGTCTTGAAGATAGCCAACAAATGTTTCACTGCAGAAGCTTACGCAGCATGTGAGGATACTCATTGGGACTTGGTGGTTTGTTGCGCAGATCGTTCATATATAGAGCTTCCCCTCATCTCTCCTCTTCTCGCTGTATCGTACTGTTTCTAGCCGCTGTATCTGCCATCATGGGCCTCCTCGTGCTTCCAGCTGTGGTTCTAACCGCACTCATCGTGTACTACGTTCTCTTCCCCAAGAAGAAGACTGGACTTGACCTCCCTCCTGGTCCCAAACCTCTTCCGATTGTCGGTAACGTCTTTGATCTTCCGCCGGCTGGCACGGCTGAGTATAAGCATTGGGCCAAGTTCAAGGATCTATATGGGCCTATCAGCTCTATCAATGTCCTCGGAACTCCTCTCGTTGTTCTGAATGACCGAGAGGCTCTTCATGACTTACTAGAGAAGCGGTCGACCAAGACCTCGTCTCGACCTTGGTCACCGTTCGCAAGTGAGCTCTGCGGTTACAGCGTATTTCTTCCTGTTATTCCCTATGGAAACAAGTTTCGGTATTTCCGTAAACTGGTGCACCAGCAGATGGGCACCAAGTTGATCTGTTCCGAATTTCGCGACACTCAGGACCTGGAGTCACTTCGGTTCCTTGTAAGAACGATTGAGAGACCCGAGGAGTTCCAGAAGCATATCAAGACGTAAGTTCGGCCAATAACAGTACAGCGAGCCTGTTCCGGGGAAGCATCGGCTAACCACCCTCATAATAGTGAAGCCAGCGCTATCATTTTGCGTATCATTTACGGATACAACATCGAGCCCAAGAAAGTCGACCCTCTTGTCAACCTGATCGAGAAAATGATGATCAATTTCTCCGACGCCTTTGTCCCTCTATCTTGGGCCGTCGACATCGTCCCCAGCCTCGCCCGCCTCCCAGATTGGTTCCCCGGAACCTCATTCAAGAAGACTGCCAGAGAGTGGCGCAACACCACCGACCAAGCATTGAACACCCCCTACAACTTTGTCATGGATCAGATGGCTAGCGGAACAAATCGACCGTCTTATGTTTCTCAGCTCATGAGCAGCAAGTCATTCAAGAACGATAATGGTACCGGCGAGCCTACGAAGGAGGATATTGAAGCTGTCAAAGCTACTGCGACTATCATGTACGGTGGCGGTGCTGATACTACCGTCTCGACTATTAGCAGCTTCGTTCTTGCTATGATTGCTTTCCCCGAGGTTCAGAAGAAGGCTCAGGCTGAGATCGACAGCGTCACTGGAGGCGAGAGACTGCCAACCTTTGAGGACCAGGACCGCATGCCTTACATCAACGCCCTGTGCAAGGAGGCTCTCCGATGGATGCCTGTCGTTCCCACCACTACAACTCACGTTACTGAGGAAGAGATTGAATACCGAGGATACCGCATTCCCAAGGGCACATACCTCATCCCCTCAACATGGTGGATTCTCCACGACCCCGAAATCTACGCCAACCCCGATGCCTTCGACCCTGAGCGCTTCATCGCGCCCCGAGATGAGCCTGACCCCAGTGACTTCGCTTTCGGCTACGGTCGAAGAATCTGCCCTGGTCGATACTTGGCTGAGGATAGTATCTTCATGACTGTCGCTCGACTGTTGGCGGTCTTTGATATGCGTAAGGCTGTTGATGAGAACGGAAAGGAGATTGATGTTGTGATTGATGGTACACCTGGTCTGATCAGCCACCCTGTTCAGTATGCTTACAGCATTACACCAAGAAGCGCTAAGCATGTTGAGATGGTTCGGGCTGCGGAGAGGGTTCATCCTTGGGAGGAGAGTGACTCTAGTCTTTTGAAGAAGGATTCTCCCGTTTGAGTTTACATAGCGAATGACAAGAAAAATTGAACTCGATGAAACGATGACCATGGACTGCATCTGCCCGTCGGGCTAACAAATTGCGTACTGTTGAATTGTGTCCGACTTGCTTGTTGGGCCCAAGGCTGCGATTCGGCGAGGCTGAGTCAGGGATATCGTGGATCAGTGCCTACGACAAGGCACTGCGGTGACCTAAGCTTCAACGAAAGCTCATTAGACAGTCCGGAGGCTATGTCTTAACCTGGTCCTGAGTTTCCGAGTGAATGAGAGAGTCACCAGAACGCCTTAGAACTCAGCATCAGTGGCTGTACACTCACAACATCACCACGGCTGAGTGTCGATAGAATGGGATAAGTGCACGAGAGAGTCCCGGCAATTTCCAGCTGACTATCCAATCTACCAAGTCATACATCACAACAAGAACGTCTCAATCTACAACAACACTCACATCACCAACAAACACAACTGCCAAACTTTCACCAACTTCATCATGTGTCACACCATTACAAAAGTGGCTTGTTGCAAGACATGCAAGACACCGCGCGATAAAAAGACATTCAAGCCCACCGTGGACAAGACACCTTGTAAAGATGTCGAAGACGGTAATGACTGCAAAGGAGAAACCTCCGAGACCGTGGACGACCCTGTCAATAATTGTGACGCTTGTGATTCATCATCAAGCGACGACGGCGGGTCATACAACTACGGGGCAACTCCTGTCAAGAATCCTCCCAAGTAGTGGAATTTATCCTATTGGGCGGTACATCTTTCGGAGGACGAGGGTATTGCAGCAGATCGCTCTGAACTACGGAGGGTAGAAGGATGAAGATGCAACTTAGACATCTGGAACATTAATAAATTTGTGTTCCCACTACTTGGCCCCCTTTATTGCTTACATCTGTCAAGTATGATGCCCTCAGTGAACAGTGACGAGTGACATGCAATCAACCTCTCAATTTATCCGGTACCGTAACATTTTTCTGAACAGATATCTGGAAATTTCCGAAATTCACTTTTCTACAACTTCACTGTTTAAACCCAGCCAGGGGAAACCTTGTTGCCTTGTCTAAAGATGTGAACACTGATGTTTGAAATGGCGTATGATTGTGACACATCCCCATGTTCTGCTTGTACATTAAAATAACTATTAACTGCTAGCTCTCCAAGTAAAGTTCATGATATCACTGCTACCGAAAAGTCTTGTCCGTCGATCACGGCTTGACAAAGCGATACTTGATGTACGGAATCCAACCCTTGGGCATATCAACCTTCTGAGCAGTGAAAGTACAGGGGCTGAAGACAGGCCAGGTGTGATCCTTCGAGAACCCAGCTTCCGTGAATGTCTTCGTTACTTCCTTTACGCAAGGATACTTGAACTCAAGATTGTACGAGCGATCATATGAAGCCGCTCCATATTCGACCACCATCTTGTTACCTCGGAGAGGAAACTTGAGGAAGTCGTTGTCGAAAGCATCAATCGCGTTGATGAGGGTAGTGAGAGAACCTTGAAGTTCCTTCTTCAGGTGACCCTGGATCTGGGTGAACCCATCACGAACCTTGCGTGAAGCCGCAGTCTTGGAGAGCTCCGCGTTGTTCTTCCAGTTCTGCGTAAGCTGAGCGTTGATCTTCTTCAATGCATCACGAGATCTTGACTCATGCTTGGTGAGGAGGATGAGAGGAGTAAGATTCCTCTTGATGTCGTTGGCATACATGCTGATGTCAGATGTGACAGTACCGTAGCCATGCATGATGCCGCGAAGCGTATCAAACCTTCCATCGTCCATAATATCAACGAGGTTGTTGGGGATAAGATACTCTGGACTAAGATCGTAGGCGGCCTGGATGTTGCCCAGGAAGTTGTAATAGATGAACTTGCGCTTCTCGTCGGCAGAGTTAGCAGCAGCGATGATGTTGTTAAGATCCTTGACGGCTTTGAGGGCGCCCGACACTGTGACAGTTAGCGATGAAAGCTTACGCAGAGCGGAATAATGACCGACCATTGTTGAGGTATGTGGAAGCAGTCTTGCCAGAGCAGGCGTTCTTCTGACAAACACTCTTCTTTATAGAGTCGACCTTGGTTGAAACAGTCTTGACGCGTGTTTGGACAGTGGTTGCTGCATTCTTGATAGCCATGATTCGGTTCTTGTAGGGTGTCGCAAAGGTCTTTTCCCAGTCGGCGAGCATCTTTGACATTTGGCCGTTCTTGATCTCAGTGCCCTTTGGAATCCACTCAAGAAACCATTCCATGACGGAATCGAGTTTCTCTCCGTAGCACCCATCTGCATCGCATTTGCTGAGGCGCTCGACAAGATCGAAGTAACTCTTTGTGTTGATCTGTAGCCTGGTCAGTGAACAGTTCAAGTTGAGGCGAGGGATGGATGACAACGTACCTCTGCTGCTTTCTGTACTACCCAACCATCCTTGTTAGCAAGTTGGTTGGCAAGAACGGTGTTCTTGTTGTTCTGGTACTTGAAGCCGCGATTGGCGAATTCCTGTTTCAGGCTTTAGCATCAGATGAAACGGTGATGGAGGAAGACCAACCTCTTCAGCGCTGTTCGCAGTAGCCAGCGCAATCCATTTGGCTCCCTTGAGCTTGCCGTCCACCCATACGGCGCGCTCCGTTTTGACTTCCTTGATAGCTCGGGGCGCCTCTCTGCAGTACGCTGTATAGCCGCCGATGAAGTCATCGTTGCCCATAGCATCTCCGATAAGGTCGCAAATGTTCCGGTTGTTGGTCAGAATTTGAACGCCACAGGGGCTGGTGTCGAAGCATGTTGTGATGGGCTCTGAGCCGTAGGGGATCTGGAAGTACTCCTCGCAGCCGTAGGTCCCTTCGGTGGATTTGCAGATAGCGTCGAGATTTTGACCAGGTCCAGCTAGGACCCTAGGCAAAAGTGCCGAGGCAAGGAACGGGAGGGATTGATAGCTACGCATTATTGATGGCAATCAAGAAAGTCGTTTTGATCTCAGAAACACAGGCGAACGATGATCGGAATTTTGGTGGGAAATGAACAGTTAAAATGACGACCCCCTGGCTTGGTAGCGCATGATGCATTTTCAGCTCTAAACACCAACTTTGATTAGTGACATTCAGCCCTGGCGGTCTAACACGCCGCCACAACTACTAATTCATTCCACCTTACGGAATTAGACACTTGTGATCACCATGACAGGGTTATTGATTTGTTGACAGTCTCTGTTTAAGCGAAGCTACTTTTTAACCTTATTTATCCACGCCACGAGACCGGTCCAGGCTGGCGGTTTTAGCGCTATTGCTCTGGTGTCTCGGTTGTTCAGTATCCCTTACGTGCAAGACTAGCCCAATAGAGATTCTGCCTTGCCAGATCAGGGATATTCCTGTTTTTCTTGTCGGGATGGTGGTGTCCACACGCTGAAAAGTAGACCGCCCGGTCCAGCTGAATTCATGTTGAATGTGAGAATGACTGTCTCTTTGGTCCGGAAAGAGCTTCACCCGAAAATGAGAAGTGAAAGGATGAAAGCTCTAGACTGGAATAGGGGACCGCCAAGTTTGGAGGGGGGTATCCTAAGGGCCACCATAGAATTGGATAATCTTTGTCATGACTTGATCCTCAGCCCTACGGAGGGCAGCTCTGCATGCGTGTTTTCAACTACGCCGAGCTCTCGTACAAGATGCTTGTTGGTGAAGCTTTCTCGATGCCACAGTTGTTCTCGGACGCCTATGAGCACTTCAGGTCTATGTAGGAGGAATGACTTTTGTATTCACACTGCACTGAATATTCAGATTTGGCCACAGCCTATAGGAACGCTCAAACTTTAGGATTGGCAAACCAAAGGAATAGGCAACCATTGCTTTGAAGGGAGAAGGCTGGATAGTGGATATGGAATTAATGTAGATTAGTTCCGTTGCTATTATAGAATGAAATCAGAACCGAGATCCCTCCTACAAGTATGTTTTACCAACATCCAAAGCACCGTATATATCCCCAGCTAAAGTCCTTGACTCCTCTCGAATGCTTCCAGTCTCTTAGCCGCTGCCGACGTTGACATAGCACAAGACCCATCCAAACTGAACAGGATTGAACAGGCTAATATGAGCAGGCGTCTTCTTCGTAAAAGCAGCGCTCCCAGGCTGGGTGCCAAGGTTGTCCTTGTACATCTGACAAGTCACCTTGCCGGGATCGATCTTCTCGCCGTCGGGGAGAAGGAACTGAACGCCGCGGAGCTCAAGATCGGTGATTTGGTAGTCGATATGCGTGAGCTTGCCGAAAGGAACGTCGAAGAACTTGTGAGTGTTCTGGTCTCGGTTGAAAGCGTAGACACTGGCTGTTGCGAAGCTTTTGGTCTTGGGAGCTGCTGTTGCGGTAGATGAGAGGGTTGCGACCGCGGTGGTGAGGATGGTGGTGAAGTGCATGATGGCGATGGGGCTGGTAGATTGAAGAGTTGATAGAAGATTGAGAATGTGTATTGTATTGAGAGATCTTAAATAGATTTTTGATTGAGTTGATTGTGGTGTTGTCTTTGGCAGGTCAGGCTTCTTATATAGACTTGGATAATATTGAGTCTCGTCAGTCCTCGTATGTCCCTCCCTATTTTTAGGTAAGTAAGCTTCCTACAGTTTAATACGGACCAACCTCTTCGCGTCAGCTCTGTATCCTGCGGATCATTTAACACGGCGTAGGCAGTGTTTCAAGCCGTAATGAAGGATAGTCAGCACTTGTTTTCAACACAGTACCTCGAATTACTTTCCCGTATTTGATGTTATGTCTCCCTGGTCACAATCCACATTTCTGAGGCTGAGTGACTTCATGCACGTCGATCCTCTTCGCCAATGGTGTAATAAAAACGTATCTGCGCCAATGGAAACGGGGCAGTCAGCAATGGTACCTCGTGTCCTGGTCGATCGTATGTCAGATCTGAGTCGCTCGTCAGCCCAACTCATCCAAGTAACGTAGCTCACTTTTCGCTGGAGAAATGGCCGAGAGTGCTTTGAGTCAATGGGAGTGTCATGTACTTTCATTTATACGAGCTTCAGAGCATACGGATGTTATGGACAGACATTGTCGGAGATATAGCACCACGTATTACCTATCAGATGATCTGTCGCAGCTCTGGTGAGCAATGTCCCCAAGCATCGAAAACCACTCATTTGACAGCAGAGGCAGAGGAAAATCGAATAATAGTACTTAATCTACTGTACCGTCTCTTCAATGAGCTGCACAACCCAATAACATTGCTCTTCCTTGCTGACATATCCCTGTTTTCAATACGCTGCCCGCTCATGAATTCCGCCACAGGGCATTTACAGGTACGTTCGGTCCCGGTGAGATTAAATGCAAGTACATTCAGTACGGGGGCGGTGCCAAAATGGAATACTCCATCACGAACAAGAACACCCCAAGATTTATGAATGGTTGTGAGAAACAGAAGACTTTTAAAAGAAAATGGCGGCCACGAAGGCCACTTAAAAACACTCTTGATAAGCTAAATGACTTTCAGTACACTCACTACTAACAGTCATGACAACATTGTCATATTGGTGTGATCTTTGACATTCCAAAACTGGGGGAAATTTTCAAAAACTGTGCGTAGTAATAGAAGAGGAAAAGTAAATACTTGACCCACTTCTACGTATCCATAGGGAGAAGAAAGGAAGGCAAAGCAGAATAGACAAATATTTACCAAAACTTAATTCCTGAACTTGTACTGAGTGAGTGAGTAAAGTTTGATCATGTTTACTCCTTACCTGGGAGTTATCTGCGGGGGCCAATCGGCCATCTCTTAGAGATTCCTGTTTGGTACAAGCGTTGTAAAGACAATCTGATCGTCTCTTTGACTGGACGGGCTCCCGCGGCACACATCAAGATGCTCCACTTCTCCCAACTTGGGCTTGACAAGACAGACGTCAAGAATGGGTATATAGGTGCAACATTTCCCTTCCTGAGACTTTATTCTTTTGTTCTTAATAATAACTGAAAAATGGCGGTCCTCTCTCCTGTTCTTCTTGCTGGAGCAGCTGCTCTCGTTTTCATCGGCGTTTTGATCGTCCGTCTGCGTTCACCTTTAGCTTCACTCCCAGGACCTCGCCTAGGTCTTCTGACACCTTGGTACCTGCGATACTATGAACTTCGCGGCAAAAGAACGGAGTTTGTTCATGAGATGCATCAGGAGTACGGGAATGCAGTCCGTGTGGCCCCAAATGAGGTTGTCTTCTCGTCACTGGACGCGATGAAGGAGATATACCTGTCCAAAGGCAGTGGCTTTGACAAAACAAGTTTCTACAACCTCTTCTCTCAGTTTGGACTCAGGTAAGTCGGTCCTTCACGTCACTATAGTATATTGAACTAACATAGAGAAGAACGATGTTCTCAAGCTTGCAGAAAGGCCCAGTAAGTCTCGAACTACCTTTAGAGCCAGCAAATCGTTAACCATCTCGTACAGCACAGCCAGAGACGACGGGTAATCGCCGACCGTTACGCAAACACCAACGTCAACCGCGAAGCTTCTTTACATGGTATACAAGAGAGATCCCAAAACTTTATCGCCCGTTGCAAAGCTTCTCCAAAGCAGGAGCTTGACGTTTATGTACGGGCCTCTAATCTTTTCTGCGCTACCAAGCTAACAACGAGCAGATGTTCCTCCATTGCTACGCGTTCGACTGTGTCACGCATCACCTGTTCCATCCTCATGGTAGCGAGTCGATTCTTCAGGCTGCAGATGAAGAGACACTCCATGAGGCGGTGTTTGACAACAGTCTTGTTAGTAAGTATCATGGATTACCTTGGAGAGTACAGTACTGAGACGAACGATAACAGGACGACTCTTAAACTACTACCACCCTACTCTTGGCAGCGTTGCAGACCAGTTGGGCTTGTTCGGAAAGTCGCGCGGCATTCCTAAAGCTACAGAACTTGTGCTCAACGGTGTGAAAAAGGGCGGTGCCGCTGATTTTACACTGGTGAGTCGCATGCAGGAAGAGAAGTTCGGCATGGGTACTTTTGATATCGCATCCGAATGTATGGATCACATGCTCGCCGGGATTGAAACCACTGGTGATGCACTGTGCTTTCTGATGTGGCAAATCTCCCAGGAAGGTTATACCTTCATCCAGGAGCGTCTTGGAGACGAGCTTAGAGCCAACCCCGATGTCCCTGTCGATCAACTTGAATACCTCGAAGCAGTCGTCAAAGAAGGTCTTAGAGTCTTCCCTTCGATCCCCATGAGTTTACCGAGGTGCGTTCCCGAAGGCGGCGCAACTGTTGATGGCCACTGGCTTCCTGGAGGTACTATCGTGAGCTGTCAGCCATACTCAATGCATCGAATGGACGAAGAGGTATTTCCCCGCCCGGACAGCTTTGAGCCGCAGAGGTGGCTGGACGAGAAAGGCTCAGCTGAGCGAAACCGACTGTTCTTTGCGTTCTCTAATGGAGGTCGCGCATGTATCGGAAGACAGTGAGTAAGCGAGCCCCAAGTTGAGGATACTGGCTAATCATTCACCAGTCTTGCTATCATCGAGATGAAGACGCTTCTCCGTGACATATATTCGCGATATAGAACGAGCCCCGCTGACGGTATGGCTTTTGATATGAGTATGGATGATCAGATTTTTACATCTCGACCGAAAGACCAGAAGTGTATTTTGAAGTTTATCGAGTGGGAGTGAGGTCGCGGATTTTGAAAATGGGAAGATTCTTGAAGATTGCCATGTTCATAGAATCATGTCTGGAGAGGCTTGGAGACATGATGCATGTATCGATATCAAGTTGATCGAGATTTGAGCGTTGGCGAGGAAGGATACTCCCGAGAACGAGCAATTAGACAATGACGTACAGCTCAGCATGATGATAAATCTCAGTACTTCTCCCATAAAAGAATGAGACGACTAGCTACCCAGAGAACGTTGGTTAAGGACCTCAGGAGGACTAACCTCGTTCTGGCGTTAGTGTAACCCTGCGGGGATTTCCACCAAGCCAGGTCGCCAAAGCCACTCGCCGAACTGTCACCAGCTCATCTCAATCGACCGCGAACATAGCAATGAGCGCTCCAGTTTCAGAAACCCGCAAATTGTTACCAAAGAAAACAAGATCTCGAGAGGGATGCGTACGATGTCGCCAACGACGGCAAAAGTGCGATGAGAGCAGGCCTTTCTGCGATAGATGCGTTGAGGCGGGGAGCATCTGCAAATATGAGGTTGCGCTGAGTTGGGGCGGAAGGTCGTTCGCGAAATCTACCTTCGGAAAATGTCTTCATGGTATTCAAAGAACAGGTACGTTCAATGGCCCAGAGGCTTTGATGAGCACCAATTAATACTGAATTAGGCAACACCTCAACAGACAATGGCTTCGTCTACTGCACGATTCATCCCCCGTCGCCTAGGTCCAGGACATCGCGGAGGATCTCAGCAACGCGGTCAGATGCCAACCATGAAACAATGCTACAGCGCTCGACAGAAAACCATGTGCCGGAAAACCTGCCGAATACATTGGATGGGAATCGCAGCACCACCAAAAACACCTTGATGTTGGAAAGCGATTGCATTCCTGAGGTATCTCCAAGGGCTCACCCACAAGATAGTCTAACCAGTCCTCTGCGCCCTTTCGAGTCGCTTATTCCGCGACCTCAACATCAGATATCCATTCTTCCTCCCATGGCTCAATACCTCTTCCAATTCTACCTCTCCGAAACGATGAGACTCACAGTCCCAAGCAGCTATGCCAAAACAGAGATTTGCCGATTCCTCGTCCCGATGTCGCTCCAAGAGCCCAGCTTACTCTACGCCGTGATGGCGTTCGCCGCTGTTCATCTCGATGCCATCGGTATGCTGCCTGGAAACTCGCAGCGACTTATAGACAGCCTTCATTGGGCGAGCATCAATCATCTTCGAAGATTGTTGGAAGATACTGACTCTACGTCACAAGCCGTGGCGTTGGCGACCACGAGAACACTATGCCAGGCTCAGATTTATGGTGGAACATCATTATGGCGCATCCATCTTGATGGTGCGCGCGCTATCCTCCAGACATCTCAAACAGGCAAACAAGTGATGAGCAGGCCTCATATACCTGCAAACACCGGCTTCTTGGATAGTTGGTTCCATAATGCGGAAGCACTAGCTTCCTTGAGTCCAACCGGGCTGCTCAGCGGCCAGCTTCTTGTCCACGGCGAAGCTGACTCTGGAGTGTCTTTTGACATTTACGGTGGTGTCATGTCTGATCTGCCTGCATTATTCAAGGAAGTCGGAACTCTCCTGGGACAGAAACACATGCGCACCCCTGAACTCGAACTCGAAACGGAGAATCTTGTTCAGCAGATACATGTACGGCTCTCTCGCGACAAAGCTGAGAATATGATTATCAGATCAGAGATGCTTTCGTTTCTTTCAGCAAAAGATATCCAAAACTACGCACTCAGCAACGCTGGCTTTCTCTATATGGCACTCTTGCACCTGTACTGTAGCATGAGATCTCTGCCTCCTTTCGCTGCCGAAGTCCGCTTCTGTGTCGCTCAAATCATTCAGTGCGCTCATAGAACGTCTCGTGAGTCTGGACTCTCGCCGAGAGTACTGTTAGTCTCACCCCTATTCACCGCCGGGCTTTATGCTATCGGAGCTGCACGAGATCAGATCAGGCTCGAGCTCGCAGACATTGGAAGGTGGATGAAGACTCCTCATTTATTCAAGACGTTGGAGTTATTGGAAAGAGTTTGGGTTCAGCACCCTGATGACTCGACGCGTACTTGGGAGACGATTGAAGGTATCAACGTCGACTTTCTTCCTTACTAGGTCTCAGCTACTTGAGGAAGGCCATAGAGTTTCTTCTCCCCCGAAGGAGATAGCAGAGGCATACCTGCTACTGTGATGAATACAGACTAGTCCATCACAGAGCTATTACTAGACTCTCTCAGTTTCAACGACGTTGAGTTCAACGCTTGACTTTCCAACAGTCTCTCCGATACCTGGGTCTTGCACTTTATAACCTCGGAACTTCCTGGCCGGGAGTCTCTCATTGAACTACACAGCATGGTGAGTAATCTTGCCTTGAACTTTGGATCGACTTCAAATTGCGTACCATAGCGTCAATCTCTTCCAAGGTTCGTCCCTTCACTTCAGGCAGGTAGAAGTACACCCAAACAGCGCTAATGATGCACGAAGGGAACCAGATATAGCCATATCTTGGCCCCCAGTTCAACGCGACGGGGTTAATGAAGTACGGGGCGGTGAATGTGATCAGCCATGCGCCGAGGAATCCAGCTGCTGCGGCAAGGCCGAAGGTATAGCTTCGAAGGCGTTGTGAAGGGATCTCCCCGGCAACTAGCCATGAATATGGAGCAATCATGCCCTGGGTGAAAAGGTTAGCCAGGCAGTCTCTCATATAAGCATAGGAACACTCACATTGAACGCCATCATGTAGAAGCATGAAAGTGCAACCAGTACCTGGCCGGTGACAATCGCACCCGGGTTGTGATCATAGACAATCGCGATGATCAATTGGAAGAAACCAGCGGTTATGAGGCCACAAAGGAGGAGTACTCGTCGCCTTCCATACCGTACAACGATACAAACATTGGCGATGATAGCAAGCATACCTGCCATGCTAAGGACGTTGCTCATTGCAAACGGGTCTTGAACTTCGGCCATCGCGAAGAAGTAGGCCTTGTAAGCTTCATAAAGGTCAGTTACATATCTCATGGGCGACAAAGGGGATAGTTACCAATGATAAACATTGACCCAGTGGCAGCTTGGAGGCACACAGCACATATGGAGATCATAGTTCGCCGTCTGTCGATCGGATTATTGAACATATCCAAGATGCCGACACTCTTGGACAATGCACGCTCGTTGTCTATGGCTTGGCGAATATCTGCGATCTCCGCCTCGGTATCTGCGCCTTCTGGCCTGAGCCACTTAAGAGACTTGAGACCATCTTCGTAGCGTCCTTGAAGCACAAGCCATCTTGGTGACTCCGGAATGAAAGGCAAACCAACGAATATGATAGCCGGAACTATGTATATCATTCCGAGGGGGATGAGATATGCAGAGCGATCAGGGCGTTTCGCCGTTGTCCAGTCGATTATGGTACCGATGAGGGTGCCCTACAAACCACGAGTCAGTATCGATATGCACTTCATGCTGTTAGATAAGAGCACTGACAAAGGTTGTGCACAGATGAAACACAGTCAAGAACAAACCACGATATTTTGCCGGACTACTTTCTTGGATGTAGAGTTGGGAGAAGGTCATGAAGTAGCCGTTAGCCAACCCGATAAGAAGCCGGCCGACGTACAGTGGCCCAATATGGCTCGTGGTCATCATGATGATGTTCGATACGGCGCAGAGAACGCAAGCCATTCGAAGACACATCTTCCTTCCAAGTTTTGCGGCGACGAACCCCGCGAGGCTGGAGCTTATGAAAGCACCCATCGTCATCAGGGACGAGATAAGTTGCTGTCGAGTGGTGTCGATGTTCCATCCGATGGCGACTTCTGGATCTCGGTAGCCATAGATCTGATCAAGAGAGCAGTAGTCAGTACAGTGCTCGGGTGCTCGTCAAACAGCAGGGAATGCAGATGCCCACTTTGAGAAACCCAGGCATGGCTTGTAGTCCACCGATCAGCCCAAAGTCAAGACCATATTGGAAAGGAGAAAGAACAATGATGCCGCATGCTATGAAACATCGCCAGTGGGCGCGGATAGTATCCTGCGATGGGTCTGCCATAATGAAGGGCCAGATGAAGTGATAACGATCAGATGAATCGAGCAGTCAACCGCGCTGGACATCATGTTTCTGCGGCTACCGTTTCCTTTCATACTGGAGCTCAACTGGAGAGACTTGGTCAATCATCTCGCATGCGTTCATCTAGACACAAAAACATCGAAACCTCTTATCACTAGCTATGTCGATGAGGGTTGGCACTTAACCGAGGTGCGGGGTGCATGATAGGTTCCACTTAGAGTTGCAGATCAAGTGAGAGTTACATCTGCTCATCTGCCTGAAAGTGGGAATGATTGTTGTATCTTTGGGGCATCGGGGTGTTTCATCCGGCGGAAAGTCGCCTCCTTGTGCTGATATCGGCGGTATAGATCCGATGGGAGGAGTTGTCAAACTAAACCCGAAGCTACAAAGTTATGGACTAGAGCTGCCTTGCATCAACTTTAACCAACAACATGTGAAGCCTAATGAGATTGCCAAGTACTTCCCCCGCAATCTGAGAGTCATGCTGAAATTTTAGTCTCGTCTTGCATGAGTTTTCAGCTTAGACTGAGGGCCTCTGAACATCGCGACTTGCTGTCCTGCTAATTCCCGAGCCAAATGCCGGGACCAGGGTAACATTTTCCCCCTCATCATCCAGACTGGTACTGATTGTCACAACATTTCCTGACAAAGCGATGACATGTCAGTCACGTTCTGATACACATCCGCAGCTTGCAGGGCGTGCGTTGCTTTGCATAGTTCATAACCAATGGGGCCACATACCTGGCTGCTAGCGTACAGGTATTGAGGGGATGTCAAGTGCGTTACATGATCCGAATAAAGAGATGATAGCAGCTTGTTCTAGCCACCCAAGGAAACAACTTCTTTTGGTAGTTACGGCCTTATAATCCGAGCATCAGATCTGACTGTTCCGCATGGAGAATAGAGGCTGTCTTGCAAAGGACAATGGCTCCAGTGGACTGGACGTCATCGGTAGCGAGTGGAATACACTGATGAAAGAGTTATAGTCATTGCCGTAAAGGGTTTTAGCGAGTTTGTGACACTAGCATGACCAACCAACTCTTGGCTGCCGAAGGATCTTGGTTGCAGATCAATAAGGGCGGGGAACAAGACGAGGACAGCTACCTCGGCTTACCAGGGCGATGGTTTCCGCTCCCCTTTATGGTCACATAAGTGATATGTTACATCAAACCCCAGGTAAAAGGCTGTGAAAGTGTCAGAACCACCTGTTCAGTCTTGTAAAAGTTATGGCACCTCACACATCGGGTATCAAGGTCATCATCGTTGGGGCCGGCTTCGGTGGCTTGACTGCCGCTATTGAATGCCACCGGCAAGGTCACGACGTTGAGATTTATGAGTCCTTTCCTGAGCTCAAAGTTCTTGGAGACATCATATCATTTGGTGCAAATGCCGGGAGGATCTTTCATCGCTGGACTGACGGAGAGATTGTAGCCCGCTTACGCCCGTTGTGCATTGACATCCAAGAATATGGCTTCAGAATTCACAAATGGGACACAGGGGAGGTCGTATATCATCAGAAACGGCCCCCTCCCAATCCTGAAGCTCCAGTGTTGAACGGCCATAGAGGCGAGTTGCATGAGATTATCTTCAATTATGCGCGCGATGAGCTGGGTATTCCAATCCATCTGGGCCAACGAGTTTCTGAGTATTTCGAGGACAATACACAAGCTGGTATCATATTGAAGACTGGAGAAAAGGTATCTTACATATTTCTCATAGAATACGGACCTTTTATTGACTTTTGTTCCAGATTACCGGCGACGTGGTGATAGGTGCTGATGGAGTGAGGTCAAAGGCAAGAGAGCTTGTTCTAGGATATGTCGACAAGCCCAAGAGCAGTGGATACGCTGTTTGGAGAGCGTGGTAAGATCGGAGTCTTGGATGGTGACTGTAAATCATTTGCTAACAAGTATAAGGTTCTCAAACAAAGACATGATCCAAGACCCCCGTACAAAAGAGTTCTGCGAGAATGGCGATACCTTCAACGGCTGGATCGGACAAGATGTGCACTTCTTGTTCTCGACCTTGAAAGGGGGTAAGGATTGCTGCTGGGTACTGACACATAAAGATGACCACGATATAGATGAGTCGTGGTCTTTTCCTGGTAAGATAGAAGAGGTGCTAGAGCTTCTGAAGGATTGGGATCCGACATGTCGAGCAATCGTTGAGAAGACGCCGTCAGTCGTTGATTGGAAACTTGTATATCGCGATCCATTACCGACTTGGATCAGTAATAAAGGTCGAATCGCGCTTCTTGGTGATGCCGCTCATCCCTTTCTCCCGACAAGCGCCCAAGGTGCCACTCAAGCAATGGAAGATGGCGTTACTATTGCTGTCTGCTTGAAGCGCGCGGGCAAGGGCAACATCCCTGGTGCACTTAAGGCTCACCAAGGTCTGAGGTAGGATTTCCAGCATGCAACTTGTACATTTCTTCAGCAAAACTAACCTGATGATAAGATATGAGCGCGTGAAAGCGGTTCAGAAGACGGGAGAGTCAACAAGAGATCTTTGGCACAAAACAGATTGGGATAAATTGAAGGAGAATCCTAGCAGTATCGGATTCCCACGCGAGGATTGGATTCACCAATTTGATGCTGAGCGGTATGCAGAAGAGAATTTTGAGAGTGCTCTCAAGACTCCAAAGGTGAATGAGGTCAAGGACAACGTGTTGGTCGACGAAGCCCCTGTAATGGCACAAGTAGCGGGTTAGAATTGTATCACTGTTTCTGCTTATCCTAACTCTATTTATTTTCCGTCATCAAATTTACAGTCAGCGTTTTATGGTGTTGACCTGATGCGGGCCTCCATCGTCAAAGTCTCCAGGGTAGGCTGTCGGTGCCTGTCCTAGTTGTCAAACACGCGTCATAGACTTCGGCAGTTGGTCACTTACTCATGCTGGATAATCTGCCCCTGTCAATGAAATAACCGTGCCTTACTCATGAATCGTGCGATCGTCACATAAACGTAGGTTCCCGTTGGTCTTGAAACTTCGGCAGAAATCCGAGAACCTTCTAGCGTCTTTCTATGAGATGGCTTTAACGTTATATTGAAGCCATACCTCGGTAAAGAGTTTCTATTCCAAGCACCATCGCCGTGAACTAAACCGAAATTGTGGTCTGAAAGTGGAACATGACGGCATTAACTGGGCCTTGGGAGCGAAGTTCGTGGCAATCGTGGCAATGATGGAACAAAACCACAAAAGTCATGACATCACAAGTCTTCCGATTTCTAATATTTGCGGAAGTTTATAAACATTGAGATTGTCCCTGGTTTGTAGGTAGTGAGTTGAATATCAAATTCAGATAATATTATATGAAAATGGCACCAAGACGATTCTCTACTGAAACTGCAGACGCAAGCCCTTTGGGCCAGCCTCTCAAATTCGAGTTCAGCGGTAAGACTGCCAAGAACCGATTTATGAAGGCTGCAATGACAGAACGACTCTCGACATGGGATCCCAAAGTCCTTGAGAAACGAGGCGTTCCTACACCAGAACTCATCAACGTCTACCGACGATGGGGCGAGGGAGATTTCGGCGTCATCCTGACTGGAAACGTCATGATTGAATATGATCAACTTGAGGCTGCTGGAAATCCTATCGTACCTCGAGATGCACCTGTGTCTGGCGAACGTTTTGAAGCGTTCAAGGAACTAGCGACTGTTAGCAAAAAGCATGGCAGTTTGATCGTTGCGCAGGTCAGCCACCCCGGACGTCAGGTTGCTGATCATATTCAGAAGAACCCCATTTCTCCTAGTGATGTGCAACTGGAGGGTGAGGTGATGGGCATGCACTTTGCCAAGCCCAAGCCCATGGATGAGCAAGACTTTAAGAATGTTATTGAGGGCTTTGCTCATGCTGCCGAGTTCCTGTACAAGGCTGGTTATGACGGCATCCAATTGCATGGTGCACAGTAAGTAGACCTAGTCTCAGTGCTTTGGATATGATACTAACACAGAGAAGCGGCTATCTCTTGGCCCAATTCCTTTCACCTACAACGAACAAGAGGACAGACAAGTACGGTGGTTCCATCGAGAACCGATCTCGCATCATCTTTGAGATTGCCGATGCCATCCGCGCCCGTGTCCCCGACAAGTCTTTCAGTCTTTCCATCAAGGTCAACAGCGTCGAGTTTCAAGAAGGCGGTTTCTCTACCGACGACTGCAAGGTTCTTTGCAAGCAACTCGAACAACATGGCTTTGACTTCGTTGAGCTTTCTGGAGGAACTTACCAGAGCCTTGCCTTCTCCCACCGACGAGAGAGTTCGAAGAAGCGAGAGGCTTTCTTCCTCGAGTTTGCCGGAAAGATCATTCCCGAGCTTACCAAGACCAAGGCTTACGTCACTGGTGGTTTAAGGACTGTCAAGGCTATGAATGAGGCTCTCAAGACGGTTCATGGTATTGGCTTGGCACGACCTGTTACCAATGAGTTCGACTTGCCGGCCAAGATTCTCAAGGGTGAGGCCAATAGCGCAATCGACACCTTGCTTGATGAGCAGAACTTTGGTATCACCAACGTTGCTGCTGGTACACAGTAAGTCTACACAAAAGCTCGGATATTAATGAACATGAGACTAATTGACTTTTAGAATCCGACTGGTTGGTAAGGATAAGCACCCTCTTGACTTGAGTCGCGAGGATCACAAGCGAATCTTCGAAGAATCTATGCAGAAATGGGGTGAGGGGATGGCGCATAATGATGACCAGTCCAAATATGGATACGTTGATATTGAAGGAGTCAAGTTGGAGCCATTTGGCCAGACTTATGCGGCGGCGTGATTGACCATAGCTAATTAGATCTAGTACATAATATACCATAATCTTCTGTTTACAACAGGCTCACTTTATAATATGACCGTTGTAAAACTCCACCGGATTGCCTGACGGTAGCATTTCAAATTTCCAATTTTGTTTGAGCCAGGATGCCACGGAGATGAGTGGCTGCCTTGAAGAACATGCATATTAGCTGATTCAAACATAGCCCAAGGGACGCACATGGATGCAACGAAACAGGTTAGAAAGGCGTCAGAATCACGACGATGACTTCAGCACCACTGTAGTTGAAAATACAAAGGAGAGCTTGAAAAAGGCCTCATCATAGGCTCATTTCATTAGTCGGCTGTGCTGCATGGTAAGGCATTATGCGCAAGTGCCGACTCGACGCCTGTTGCTGACCATGCAGAGACCCCAGGTATAATCAGTCTCGACCCCATTTTCATCATCTTCATCTACAATTTCGTTCCGCCTTATCTACAGCCTCAACATAACTCGACAAATCAACTGAATCAGTCATGGCTGCGACACCTTGGACCTTAGGCCGTTTCTTGGATGAGTGCGACAAGGCGGAGAAGGAAAATTCGAGTGATGAAGTTTTCATCTCAACTACCACGATCAAATTGTTAACATCGAAAAAGTGCATCAGCGACATTCTAAAGGACCAAAATTGTCCAAATCAGGATGCCTTGAACGAACGGATCTATGACAGACGACGCCCTGCGAAAATTATCTTCCTGATCTTAGCCCGAGCCGACATGCTAGACTTGATTGACGAGTTCTTATCCGATGGCTTTTCTGATTATCATCTCCCAATAGAGGTCCAATGGATCAGCCAAGGGTACAAGGTCAAAAGTGCGAGAGACTCGGACTGGACTACCACTCTTTTCGGAAAAAGATTGCATTATAGAGATGTCGACTATTTCGCGAAGAAGCAATGGCCATTCTTGGCCCCTATCTTTGAAAGAGAGTTCGAATATGCACTGAAGCAAGGTATCCCTTTGCCATTGGTCGAGAAAGGCATTCCTATTGTCTCTGGGTTTAGCTCCGTTTCCAAGATCAAGATGCACCCTGCCCATGTTCCACGGGAGACAGAAGTAAGTCCGCCAGCTCCGGCTCTTCAACATATTTGATCTAACATGATATAGCACTCAATGGCCATGAAAAAGATGGAGCTGGAGAGTGAGGATCAGATCAAGTACGTCAAGAAAGAGATGACTAATGTGACGTCTGTCCGAATGCTCGATCACGACCATCTCATCAAAGCAGTTCTCGCCTGTACCAGAGGAAAGCAGGCCTTCTTCTTCTTCCCGTGGGCGAAAGGAGGAGACCTGTATAACTTCTTGAAAAACAATTCGAATGAGGACATGTCTGCTATTAAATGGATGCTTGATCAAATGGTCGGGCTCTGCAGTGCTTTGAGTCTGTTGGCGGACAAGGGGTATCGACACGGCGACCTCAAGCCTGCGAACATCCTATTGTTCCCTGAGGAGTCTGGAAGCTACTGTCTGAAGATAACAGACGTTGGACTCTCGAAGCTTCACATCCTGGCAACAAGCAGGCGACTGAATGGGACGACTGCCAAGGCTACCACGAGGCGATACAGCCCCCCTGAATTTGACCTCTTGTTCGAGGATGACGGGGAGCCGGCGGAAGGATCTGACGACATAAAGCTATCGCGGAAGTTCGACATTTGGTCTCTCGGTTGTGTCTTTATCGAGTTTCTCATATGGGCCAAACTGGGAAGGCAGAAGTACAAGGAGTTCGACCGGTCTATGAGAAGGGACCGACGATTCTGGGACTCTGGACGCGAAGACCTTGATGATAATGTTAAGGAAAGAATACAGAGCCTGGAAGCTGCTATCAAGGATACCCCGGGTGACAAGGCAATCCAGCGAATACTAGCCATGGCCTTAAAGCAAATGCTCCTTACCGACAGCGATGATCGTAGCAGTGCGTCGGATATTTACAAGGAATTGGAAAGTATAAGAGATAGTTACAGTCAGTATCTTCACCCAAAACATGGACTTGATCTGCCGCTAGGCCTGACTACAGAGCAGGCCACCGAGTCCGACCCCCTTCAGCACAATCAGGGTCTACTAGACGGAAACGACGGCATGAGTCGAAACGCTCCTGAGCTATCTAGTATCCAAGACAAGGGCTTGAATACTACGGCCGTTCCTTCGGGTAATACCGCTGCTATGGTTGTACGTTGAATAATACGAACCCTAGTGCGTTGGACTTGACAGCTAACAGCAAGGTAGTATGTGAGTCAAAACGTTAGACTCTTTGCCGAAGAATGGAAAAGCTGATGAAGTATCTGATATCGCGACATACAGAATGTATGTATCAGGCAATCCCGTATACTGACTTGTTGGATTCTGGTACTAACTACCTTTGAGACTGTTAGTGCATCATGAGTATTTCACCTTGATTCAGTCTACTTACAAGAACCTTTTAGCGGGTATGCTTTACCATACTCATTCTATAGTGTTTGGTGTATACTAACAGATACAGCAAAGCGCCAAGCTACTCGATCAATGGACAGTCAGTACCGACAATGAGTTTGCAAAGAAATTCTTGTCCGAGACTATCACCCCGAACCTAACAGACAGAAGTCGATTGTGCGACTCTTGTTCAATGCTTCGCATCTGGGAGCCCGATGCTACTATATCTGGTAAACTGGGGGATTTTGAAACTCGTGCTTCGGCATGTGACTTGTGCAATCTTCTGTACGTCGTCTTGCAAAGGCTTGGTCTTGAAGAAGATCAGGAATCACACTGCATTCGAAACGGCCCTACATTCAACTTGAATGGGCGTGACGGCCCGCCAATGCTTTCCTTGTTCTCCAATCCGGGTACGTTTTCAATGTCTACATATCATATCTGTGGCACTAAGTATTGACATATTAGCTTATGATGATCATGATCTTGGATCCGTTCAGGTGGGATATCCAACTTTATCCCCTCCCGAAAGTCCTGAACGGTATCGTCTCTTTCAAGAGTGGCTCCATGTATGTGATAATGAGCATGGCCATGCGCCAAACACATCCTCGGACGGCGGTGCTGTCCAAATGCCCAGTCGGCTGATTTACGTGGGTGAATCGAATGAACACTTAGATGATATTGACGATTCTCGCTCTCTACGTTACCTTGCTCTCAGCCACTGCTGGGGAGGCAGCATGAGTCTGACTACCTTGACTAGCAACATCGACCAATTTCGCACCGAGATACCGCACAAACAACTGCCTCTTAACTTCCAGGAAGCCATCAAAGTCACGAGAGCACTCAATATCTCATACCTGTGGATAGACTCATTGTGTATCATCCAAGATGATCCGGAGGACTGGCGACGAGAAGCTGCTCGAATGGGTCAGGTTTTCAGCAACGCCTATTGTACAATCGCGGCGACATCAGCAGCGGCGTCTCACGAGGGATTCCTTACTCCTCGAGCCAACTCGACAGCTTTTGCAACGGTCAAAACTCCAAGTCGTGGACTGCTTCACATTTCGGAGTTCATGGAGGATTATAACAGAGATATAGAGTTGGCGCGCCTGAATACCCGCGGTTGGGTGATGCAGGAGCGGGCTTTGTCTAGAAGGACACTGCATTTCACCAAGACTCAAGTTTACTGGGAATGCGGAAACGGAGTGCATTGTGAGCGACTCTTCAAACTGTCAAAGTAAGTACTCGCCATTACCCATTGTTATTTATGTCCCTTTTAACAATTACCTTTGTTAGTCCCCAATCAGCTCTGTTCGCAGACTCGGATTTCCCTAGGGCGATACTCAAGTACTACAAAGGTGGACGAATTACTCTATTCCAAAACCTTTACGAGAAGTATTCCAGACTCAATTTCAGCTATATGTCAGACCGACCAGTGGCCATCCTGGGTCTTGAGAAACGCCTTTCATCTGTGCTCCAGTCTCGCGGCGAATTTGGGGTCTTTGAGCAATACCTGGCGAGAAGCCTACTATGGTCCCGACCTGAGAATGTCTTTCTGAACAGTATTACGTTCCAAGATGACCATCATGTTCCTTCTTGGTCATGGATGGCATATGAGGGTCCGATCACCTATGCGAATATACCTTTTGACAAGGTCGAATGGAGTACCGACTGCTTGCTACGATCTGGCTCAGAAACTGGTACAAGCACCAAGAGGACTATGTTGAAAGCATTTGCTAGAGATCTGAAATTGGAAAAGCTGGATATGCACGATAGAGTCAAACTTGATGAAGAGTCTGAGTTCGAACTATCGAACTTGCGGGGGGTTGTCCTTGGTAAAGACAAGAAACGAGAATCGCGGGTCCAAGTATACTATGTTCTTCTTGTTGCTTTATGCGAAGACGAACCAGAATGGGCGAAGGTTTATGTTCGAGTTGGCGTGGCCTGGCTTCTTGAACATAACATCGCACGGGATGGGGAGGATGTTGTGATTTACTAGCTGTTGCTTCCTTAAATTATAACTGAACTGTATTCCATGAGTCCTTTTTCTTCCATTGTGAATCCCCATGATTCTATATATAATAACGCCGATAACTAGCTTAGGAAGTCCTGTACTCCCCAAATACTATGAATGATGATATACAGGTGCGGTATGCCTGCATTCGTGTAGCGAGTCCTTCTGAGGGCCGTGGGAAGACGGTTTGCAGAGAGGAACATTACATGGGCGGAGCATCGTGTTGTTATATCCCGCGTCCAAAGTAGTCACGGTCCCATCGTATGGTGTATATATCTTGCTGCATCTCGACAGAGAACTTGTTTCGGGGCAGCCTTCGTTCGAGGATAGCGAGAAGTTTTTGTGGGCTGACGTCCTTTGCATTGATGTGGATAGTATCGTATGAAGAGCTGGTCACTGCTTGCCCACTCTTGTGCTGTTGTATTTGCCCAGGCATTTTGAGAACAGGACTAGAGATATTGATGAAGTTGGACGTCAACGGATAGATGAAAATACGCTTGAAATGGAAGTCGGAGAAGAAACACGGAAGTGGCTGATTTAAAAGGACTCGATCACAGACGCGATATGACTCAGAAATGATAAATTGGAAAAAAGGCAGACAAGGCAACCTCAGAAGCGGGGGCTGTGCCTCGAGGCCTCCTTGGGTGGCCTCCATCTGACACACCGTGGAAAAGCAGGCTCTGGATTGAGCAATCGAAGCAGCCACTCAATAGCTTCTGCCTGGAATTTTCAACCCTGGCTGCAGGTATTCTTAGATTGGGCTAGATCAGGGTGCCAGAATAATGTCGCGGCGCTGCACAAAGTGATTCGCGAAGCTGATAACGAAGAGGTGGCGGCACGAGCCGCTTCAGGCCAAGCATTCTAACCGCTGTGGCATCATCCTGGCCAATATACGTCTAGGATACCTATGAGCCTTGTTCGAATTATCAATGCGTCCATTGGCTGGTCATATGCAAAGCCCCAATGTCTCGACCGGGGGTCTCAGCCGCAGTGCAAGGGGGGCTTAATATTTGCTGAAAGCGTACTGAAGAGAATCAAGCTCGGTTGAATTGAGAGTGGAATAGTCGGCTTGAGAGATCATAAGCAATAATATGTATTGTCTAGTATCCTCTCACCTGATAGATATCTCCATTCTATTCCAAGTTCATGCTTGAAAGTATGGTCAAACCTTTTAAACCCCGTTTAAGAGTGAGGGGGCCAATGACGGCCACTTCATATGTTACATCACCAGAAAACCGCAACGCATCTCAGAGCCAACAGCCCAACTCAACAACGGTCTCTCATTATGAGCCTACAGGCATCCCCAATTGGGGAGAAGCGCCATCTCGTTCCGAAATCGACTTGAAGCCCCGGACAGGACAAGAGTCTATCCACATTTCAATATTATCTCAGAGAGAAAGCACATCAACATTTCGGAGTATCTCTGATATGGGTCATCAGAAATGGCTTGAATCTTTAGGCTCTTATAGAGTTTCTGCGAGTTTGTTTGGAGATGTTCAGGATTCGGAGGCACTAATGGTTCACGTCGACATTTCCTCTGTCTGGGAAGCCCTAATGAATGCCTGCAAGAAGCCCGCCATAGATCGTACTGGTAAGCAGGAGTTCATACCCCTGGGACAGCTCCTTCGGATTCTGAGCCCTACGAACGTTAACAAGATACTAAATCAAAGTTTCACGGATGAATCTTTGATAAGCCTTGTCAACCAGGTATATGGAGCTAATGGCGAACCACGAAGGCTGAAGATCATGGCTACATTGATATTGGTGGATGGACTTAACTTTCTACTAGACTTTGTCCATGCAAGGGTGGAAGATAGTCAGCTTCCAGTTACTGTTCAGCGAAAGGGGCAGCAGCCTATTTTATACGATCGTGAAAAGAATGAAATAGGACCTTCAAGGTATTGGACTTGGTCTTATCCCCAAGCGGAATACTTTACCATGAAGCAGATGCAATTATGCAGCCTCTTCTGCACTATCGATGAAGAGGGACAGTTTATGGATCATTTTCGCCTCCCTGCAGATTTCGTCCTACCATTCGTGGATTCCGAGCCCCCTGAAATTCGGTCCGGAGGATATGGTAAAGTCACAAAGGCCTTCATCGAGCCGTCACATTTATGGTATCGGGGTAAGTACCCGAAACCAAAATGTTTCGCTATTAAGGCCGTTCAGCACAGTTCACTGGACCATCCTAGTGAAGCAGACTCTCTTGCAAGACGGTTGGTCATCAAGAAGCTCGCAGACAGAGAGCACCTCCATCAGCTTCTTTTCTCCTTTCGACGGGCCGACTATTACTACCTCGTTTTCGAATGGGCTGATGGCGATCTGACGGATCTATGGAAAACGATGCCAAGCTTATACCGCCCTGACAAATACGATGACGTGTGTTGGTTCTTCCGACAATGCGCTGGTATTGTGCGGAGCTTGGGTAGCCTTCACGAGCAGCGCTCATCTTATACCGCCAGCACTATGGAGGAAATAGTTCATGTTGCGCTGGCAGGAAAGTACGGGCGCCACAGCGACATCAAGCCGCAAAACCTGCTTTGGTTTAGTGATTATCAAGGGGATAAGAAAGATCATCTAGTCATTGCCGATCTTGGTCTCACCCAGTTCAACACGACACAGTCCAAGTCCCATGCCTCATGGGCTGGCATCAAGGGTTATACGCAAACTTACAAAGCGCCTGAGAGTGAAGTAAGCCGTGAGGTTGGAGCAAGATACGACATTTGGTCCCTTGGTTGTGTGTTTCTGGAGCACGCGTCTGTGTTTCTCATGAGGGATCACAGCTGTGTCAAGGCCTTCTCCGATAGCAGGTTAGAGGAGGATCGTTGGCGGAACAAAAACGGAAATTATCATAGCGATACTTTCTATAATGTTATCACGGGTGAGGATGATACAGACGCCGACACACCATTTAGAAGCAATGTCATTCGGGGGGAGGTCAAAGTGGAAGTTATGACAGTAAGAAGCATATCAGAATCAATCCTACATCATGGGCTAACAACTCATTGCCACAGACGATTCAAGATCTAAAAGACCATGAATTGTGTGCTCCTTCCATGTGTGACTTCTTAGATCTGATCAGCGAAGGGATGTTAGTACCGAATCAGTCTGTTCGATATACTGCAGGCATGGTCCTGAGAGCTCTTAAAGATATCCAGCTCCGTTGCGGAAAAGACCGCAGTTACGCTTGCTCATCAAGGCACATGCCATTGAAGGATCAGTTGGAGTCAATGACCGATAGTCACATTCCTTCAAGCCAGTCTCAGATCTTGGCAGGTATCTCAGGAGGACAAGAGGGAATCAGGACCAACTTTGACTTATCTCACGTGGAGGCAAACCTTGGTGCGGGGGCTGCCGACCCGGAAGCGATGGAGATGCTTAATGAGCTGAGTCACATGGGCAACAACATCACTATATCTCCAGGTAATCTACAACTAAAGATACCGCAGATTCAGTTTGATGGGACTGTAGCAGGGCCTTTGCAAAAACTCAGCCCTATCAGCGATTTAATCCATGGCTTCAAGTCCCTCTCTATTAGAGAAAAGACTTAGCCGATATTATACCCCTTAATGGTTATTCTTTAGGCTGTACAGTTTTAATAGACTTGATACCCTTGCTTTTACTACAAGAAATCTACTACTATTACTGCTATAGTGCACATTAGTGGTTGGGCCCGGGGAACTCGGTTAATGGGGATAGTCTCCAGCATCGAGGGCAATGCTAGCATACAGCTGAAAGAAACAACTAACTGGGTTTGGGAATGTCAGGTCATATTTACATTTTTAGTTTCCTGTATTGGAGTTAGCTTTCCGAACTGTCACAGCTGACGTCCTTTTACGATGCTGAAAAGAATGAAGATGGCTAGCCTACCAATACTACATGGGTATTTGCATCAATAGCGCAACTACTAGCCGGTGGAGACGGATTATACTGCATTTATCAGCGCTTGCCATTTGACAGCAACTTGACTCAAGAGAAGAACATAAATATCCCCGACAGGCTCCTCATCGGATATTTAAACGCCACAATAGCTCCTCTCACATGTTCTCCCAGCTCGACTTAGAATTTTGGTCCCATCATTGAAACCAAATATTTAAATCTTCTTTTCTTCCGACCCCCTAAAATGACTCGGTCTGCAAAGGATTGGATGGGAGATCTTGCGGGAGACCTCAACATTACACAACTTTCAATACCAGGAACTCACAATAGTCATGCTATCAAGACCAATGTCGAGGTAGAGAGCAACTCGCAGGTCAACTTCGCGTCCCATGCATTGTTAAATCCTGGGATTGTTGCAATGTATGCCGAGCTCTATACCGCGATTGCAACGTGCCAACTCGACCCCATGTGGAAGCAGCTCCAGAATGGCGTGCGGTTCTTTGATCTTCGTGTCCGTTCCTGGGAGAAGTTTGAGAACGAAGGAGGTCGTTGGGCGTTTGGCTTGTGCCACGGGAGTGCCAAGCTCAAGGAGAGCCTAACGCAAGTCCTGGATGGAATGGCGGATTTCTTAAGGAATCACCCAACCGAAACGTTGCTGATTTCTATCAAATGGGACGAAGAGAAGCTCAATGGGGGTTCTTCTCATACAACTGTGCCAGACTGGAATCTCCGTTTCGGTGTGTCTGAGATCTGGGATAAATATAAGTGGTTCAGGGGAGCGCACTGGCCCAATCTCAGCGAAGTACGGGGTCGAGCCATTCTAGTGCGGCGCTTTTGGAACCCTGACAACGAAACACTGGGTATCAACTTCGACAACCCAAGTTACTACGACAGTCCTCAGGGCGGAGGACCAGATGGCAAGTGGAAGCAAATGCCCAATCCAACAGAATTCGCAATGACCATTGAAAAGCGCTGGAACACTGCACTAAACATGCTCAATGAGGCTAAGGAGGCTGACCTCAACGACAGAGTCATGTATTTTGCTTCAACATGCGACACTTGGGTAGACAAAGATGGCAAGGTGCCCAAATGGTGGGAGCCTCGCTACTACGCAGAGCGAGTGAATCCCTGGCTTGCGTTATTCATGTCCCAAGAGTACGAGAAGCCTAAAAAGGGTAGATACGGGGTGGTTGTCACCGACTTTTGCGATGCGACCCTTGCCCGTTGCATCTTTGAGCAAAACTTCAGTCGTTGACTTCCGTCAGAACCTGGATCTTCCCTAATATTGCCTGGAACGTTAGACGCATGATTCGCCGACAATGGAGGAGATGGTGCGATGGTCAAGTCAAGCGAAGATGCATGGTATCTTGGTTTCCTTACTAGCTTCAGCTCTATCAAACGTCTCAAGAAGGAGACACTTTCTGGGAGGATATTCCGAAGCTCATTCCGTGGCATTAGCCCAACACCGTAGCAAGTCGCTCTAAATCATCAAGAGACAAGTCATTCGCAATGTTTATAATCCCACTTCTATTACCGTTCTATGTCTATAGGTCTGTCTATTCTTCTCATAAAATATCACTTCTGTCCCTCAAGCAAGCTTTCATACCTCACCGCGCTTGTCGCTGACGTCCTCGAGGTTCTCAGATTGGCTCACTTCGCCCTTGACATCGGATCTGAACTGTTGTTCCTCCTGCTTTAGCTGCTCTTTGAGGATCTTGTCTGCCTTCCAGATTGGCTTGAGCTTGAAGAGTCTGTACACTTGCTCCAAAGGAATTCCACTTGTCTCGGGAATGAGGAAGAAGGCGAAGATGAAAGCAAAGAACGACAACGTCGCAAAGAACATGTAGACACCGTAACCCATGGCAGCAAACATCTGCTCTGTGAATCGAGAGACAAGGAAGTTGAACAGCCAGTTGCTGGCGGTTGTGCAGGCTTGGGCGAGGGATCGGAAACTGGGGTCGAAGAATTCCTGAACACTGGTTAGCCGGTGAATGAGGACTTTGGAGTAGCAAGACATACAGAGTTGATGACCCAGGGCGTGCCGTTCCATGTAGGAGTGTATACAGCGGTCCAGAGGTAGAAGAATACGATGGCAGCAATACCACTGCCAGTCAAATGATCCTGAGGATTCTTGGTAGGGTCGACGACATAGATATATGCACCCAACACCCACATACAGATAGAGCCAGTGATACCACCAATGAGCAGCAGCTTTCGTCGACCAAGTTGATCAACGAGGAAGAGAAGCCAGACAAATGTCATCACAGCCTTAACGACACCAAAGATGCCAGTCATTACGTTGACAGTATCGTGCTGGACGCCAATGCTCTGAGAACCGTTAGTATGGTGCATTTCACCTCAAGCCAGGTTGATGAACTTACAGAGAAGACAGTTGGGGAGTAGTAGTTGATGGCATTGATTCCAGAGCCGTTCTGCCAGAAGAAAAGCATGCATCCCAGAAAGAGACGCCACATCATGTTTGGTCGATCCTTGAGAGCTTTGAAAGGCTTCCAAAGTCCAATACCCACGGTCGACTTCTGGATCTCGTGAGCGTGGTCGATAGCTGAGACCTCTTCAGTAATATAGAGATCGGTCGGTGTGAGTTGTCGTATCCAGCAAAGGTTTTCCATAGCTTGCGTTCTGCGATCCTTGAGAAACAACCATCGAGGAGACTCGCGAAGCCAGAGAGTTCCAAGGAAGAGAAGACCAGACGGAATGATCTGGACGGCGAAGGGAACGATCCATTGTTGGTGGCTTTCGGGCATGTGCTTCTGGACACCATACTATCCAAAGGTTAGCAAGCGTGTGATAGATGAAGGAGATGAAGACTTGACTGACATTGATCCAGAATCCTACCAGGCCGCCAATCTGCCAACCAAGCTCGTACAGACCGACCAGACGACCTCGAATAGCAGGAGGTGCCAGCTCAGAAATGTAGATCGGGATGATGTTGCTTGCAAAACCGGTTCCAAGACCTGATAGAACACGGCCTGCGTATAGAATTCCTAAGCCAGTGCCAGAGTCGGCACCGCACTGAAGACCAGCTCCAAGCGTGAAGGTAGCGGAAGCGATGGCAAGACACCATTTGCGGCCAACCCAGTGGCTAAGAATGTAAGTGAGAAGCGCGCCGAAGAAAGCACCAGCGATGAAAAGCGAGACAATGTTCTCACTAATCAAGTTTCGCTCCTCGACACTCTTTGTGTCGATCCCAAACTCCTTCTTGAACGAATCAAGCGTAATAGTCGTTCCAATAAAGGCACTTGTATAACCGATCATGTTCGAACCGCACGACGCAACAACAGCAAGCACATAAATGCGCCAGTTGTACACCGAAGGCGGCGTCGGCCTATCTTCAGCAAGAGTGAGGATACCCATGGTTACAAGATCAGTATGCCGTGAGATATTCGAGCAGAGAAGCTGTCGAGATAACAAACCGACTCCAGATCAAGAGCTTTATAGGAATCAGCGGGGTCCGGGGCCCCGACTTTGAAGTGATGAGTCTTTGTGCTTCCCCATCCTGACAAAGTTTTCTTCTCCATGCGCTACGTTACAAAGATGCCCACATTGCTCTGGGGCGCTGGAGTCTATGGAGCAAATGAGTCGGGCCGGACGAGCGTTTTCCCCGTATGGGGGCAACGAGATGAGATTGTCGTCGGTGTGCTTCCGCTATCTGATCAATTCATTCACGTAATTTCGATTGAGCTTGATGAGCTTAAATGATTGGCAGAATCGGCAAATTTAGTTGTCAAAGAATCTGTTGCTGAGTCGCGTGGACGCCTCTTACGGAAGGGCGGCTTAACGGCTCTTGGCTTCCAAGCCATTTGAGCCTCATATTGAGCCTCAACATCCACAGTCACCGCCAAGGACAAGCCATTCACCGCTGTAGAACCAGTAAAGCACTCTGGAAAAAGCCTAGAAACGGATTTCAACCTGGCGCAACCCCCACTATCCCCGTCCAATACCCAGACCCCGGACCATCCGGAGATCAGCGCGGAGAAAAAATCTCCATATGCCTTTGAGCCTCCGGCAAAACCTTTACCCCACAAGGTATGAGCCTTTTCTTCGCCAGAGGGATAAAAGCTTCGATGGGCCACGTCAAAGCTCGAGGGTGACACCAAAATCGGGTACCGGCACATCTAGCTGATCAATCAAAGCGTTATCAGTTGGATCTCGGAGGACCCTTGACGTCAGTTATGTTGGGGAATTATGCGTAACCCCAAGTTCCCCGAATTCAGTGGTTGAACCTTGATCCGGGGCCTCCATGGGGGAATAAACATGGAGATTAGCTATGCATAAACTAACAAACCCGAGGAGATGGATTTATCAGTAAAGAAAGGATCCAAATGCCGAAGAAAACTTTCGAACACGCATGGTTGAGCAGAATCGATACCCACTAAAAGGACTCCGTCATCGGAAGACTCATGGAGAATGTGTGCAGTCAGACGCGTGTGCGCCAAACCAGAAAGACAAGCAGCCAAATACCTTCAGAAAACTGCTACATATGGGATTCTTTGAGATGACGAGAGTGTAGGGATCACATCTTGATTCAGAGACTTCAATATCTCGGTCAATGTCTGGTTGTTTGCGTAAAACCAACATCGTAATTGTACAAAACACTTTCTATCATATACTGTCCAAACAAGGCACAGATCACGCCGTGTACTTTTGTATAGTTACATAAAAGAGAGGAGAACTATGAGAAAATTGAGGCGACCTGCATAAAATAAAAAACCTCTTTGACTTTTTGATGACTCGCGCTGTACCCTTATCGATATGATTCAGGCGTCTACCCTAGAACGAGCGTGAAGCCTGGTGGATACGCGTAAAGTACGCGATTAGGCAGGTGCTGAAATGTTGGGACATTGTCAGCTCAACCCACAGCTTTTGCAACTTCCTATGAGTCTCCAACAATCTCACCCGCCATGACTGACAAACATCCCTTCAGAGTTGTGATTGTAGGCGCGAGTGTCGCCGGGCTTAGCCTGGCAAACATGCTCCAGGCCAATGGCATCGACTTTCTGGTGCTGGAGGCTTATCCGACTGTAGCGCCTCAGGTTGGAGCTAGCATCGGTCTACTACCTCATGGAAATCGCATCCTAGACCAGCTCGGCTTATACGAGAAAGTTATGAAAATTGCGCCTCCTATACAAGCATTCAACTTTCGAGACACGAATGGCAAAATTCTAGCTCAGCATCCAGAGATGGACGAGCGGCTTATTGAGAGGTGAGCACGTTCACTTATCGTATGCCTCCTTTGACTGACCGCATTATTCAAGGCATGGATACCCAATGGTCTTCCTTGACAGACAGATGCTCCTCAAGGTGCTTTACAGCAATATAAAGGACAAGTCAAAGATCTTGACAAACAAGCGAGTTGTCCGGACGGAGTTGGTTAATGGTGGTGTTCGAGCCGTCACATCAAACGGAACGATGGTCGCCGGTGATATCCTCGTTGGAGCAGACGGTGTGCACAGCACAGTACGCTCTGAGATGTGGAAACTAGCTGGCAGGCTTTCGCCAGGCCTATTTGACCCAAACGAGCATGAAGGTGAGTTGAAATACAAACAACATACCAATACACAGACTGACAGATATAGCACCTCCCTGTGAAAACAGCTGCATCTTCGGTATCTCTAACCCATGTGCTGGTATCAACTCAGGCGATCTGCACTGCGTATTCAGAAACAGTTCTTCGTATCTCGTCACAGGAGGTCCTCAAGGACGAGTCTACTGGTTTCGGTTCCAGAAGCTCCCGGAGAAAGTTCATGGCTCAGCTATTCCACGCTATACAGAGAACGACCTCCAAAAGGCGCTGTCTGAATCTGCTGACGACAAAATATTGCCTAATTTGAAGTTTTCAACATTTATTGAGAACAAAGTGAGTGCTGTCATGACCCCACTGGTGGAGTATGTCTATCAGAAGTGGCACTTTGACAGAATCATCACTCTGGGCGACTCAGCGCACAAGGTAGGTCCCAGAGAATACAAGACATGCACCAATCTGACGCATATCATAGTTCCATCCAGTGGGTGGCCAAGGCGGCAATGCTGCCATTGAGAGCGTGGCCTTGCTGACGAACAACCTTGTGAAAGCACTTGAGCGGAGCCCTTCAGGACGCCTGACCACCTTCCAAGTCGAGTCCATGTTTGCAGATGTCCAGTCTCGCCGCAAACCCAGGTTAGAACTTAACCACCGTTACTCTCATAACCGAGCGAATACAGAAGCACTTGATACGCCTCTCAAAAAGCTTATGGCGATTCATCTACTTCCGCTGGTAGATGAGCAGGTCGTAACTCTTGGCTACTGCTCTCAGCATCCTGGTGGAGAAATGCTGGATACGTTACCAGTGCATCACCATGAGAACTTGATACCATACAAACAGGAACTGCTTTGCGAGCCAACGTCCAGAGGCTACATACAATGGGTATTGGTGACTGCCTATGTGGTCTTTGCAGTTGTTGCAGTCTCTACAGGTAAATATGAGCCTTCGTCGGAGACAGGTCCTACTTCAACCGATGGATTTGCCTTGGATAACTCTCCCCACAATAGTATTGGCAACCGATCAGGTTTGTATGGCTTTCCTCCCACTTCGAAAGCCAAGGCTTGGATATCGACTTTTGAGCCTCTAAACATCTACGCATTTGGCCATTTCATCCAGCCCGTCGCCATCATCATGCTTGAAGGCTATCGCGGAAGAAACAAGCTCACGCCTCTTGGACTGTAAGAGATCTTTGTTTGGGGAAGCAACGTGGATACTGATTGTGTCTAGACCTGTTTTGTGGATCATGCTGTTTCAGTACGCTGGAGTCGGGGTCGCTATGCCGTTATACTATCTGATCTACACCTTGATATCGGATGTCGAATCTTATTGGTGGCCTCTTAGAAGATTCGTTCCTCTACAACACGCTAGGCATATTTTCCCTGCGTACGTGTTGGCAGAAGCAATTCATGTCGGTCTTCTCTATCGCCCCTTGTCAAACACGCATCTTCCCCAGTGGATGGAAGTCGCCAAGTCATTTTGGCTCTTGCTGGTTCCCATATTCGTCACAATATTTGGATCTTTTGGCAGCCGTCAAACTACACTGGATTCAACCAAAACACTAAAAGTCGAACTCAAAGTGCTGGGCAGAACAATCCTGGCTGTTGGAATTTTCGGCGCTTTGTGTCATTGGTTTGCCATCACGCAAGCCCTTCGCAACGTTGACCCCAGTACAATACTCAACATACTGAATAGGCCGACTATATTCCATGAATCCCGCCATATACAAGCAAAACATAAGGCTGGACTATTGATATACCTCCTAGCATCGTATGTGTGGACAGTTCAAGCTGTTTGGGATTTGAACAGAGTTGGCCGAGCCAAGATGAACGTGTTCACCGCAGCACTTTGGATCTTGCTGGTGTTTGTGAGTTTTGGACCCGGTGCCAGCGTTGCTGGTGTCTGGTACATACGAGAATATGCTATGTCACGAACGAGCTTCCAGCTAAAACAAAAAGTGGTCAAAAACATTCAGATTCATAACGACGATGCAATCAGGACTGACCCCCCTGGAGCAACTTCTACAAGTGTTAGATGATAAGATAAGGCTGATCGATAAGATAATCCCTTATCACACGTGCCTGCTTGATACGGCTGATATCGGTCCTCAATCGGCCTGCTCAATTTAAGATGACTGTAAAACCTCAGCCGGCATCTCAATTCGCAAAATAATGATCATGAGCTCAAGATAATAGTAAACTCAACGTATATCAATCGCCGATCATGGATGGCCATGCTCGCCAACCCAGTCCTCTGCCGGCGCGGCCTGTATCTCGCAAACGCGTCGCGCCGGTAATCTCCGTGCTAATACTATGCCTCTTTGTCAATCTGTCAATGAGCCTCTATCAACTACCCTCGAATCGGTTGATTGAAAAGCGTCTTTGTGTAGACTACTATCGCCAGAACGATCCGTCGCAGATTCAGCCTGGTGGTAGGGTTGACGAAAAGCTATGCAAGATTCGCGAGATAGAAAAAGGCCTGGGTCGGATTCAGGGCGTGATGGAGACGCTTTGGGTTGCAGGAGGTACGTCATACTTGTGCTCAATAGTATTTGTCCTGCTGATGCGATGAAGACTTTGTCATGACTATTCCCCTCAGCTTTCTAGCTGAGAAATGGGGCCGCCGGACAATCCTCAGACTCAACCTTATTTCACGTTCTTTTATGTTGTTATGGGCGATCATGGTCGGATCTTTCGATAATCTGCTCCCAACCAAGGCCATCATGATCGGCCCGGTGCTCTCAGTCCTTGGTGGAGATTGCGTCTTCAACTCTCTTACCTACGGCCTTGTCTCGAATTTAACGGACGACCATGTTCAACGAGCCATTTACTTTGGATACATGAGCTCAGTGTCTTATGTTGTGGCCTTACTTGGCCCTGCACTGGCTTCATCTACCATGACACTATCGCTATGGCTACCGTTCTGGCTCGGCACATTTCTGCTCTCATTGGCTGTCCCCACCATACAGATGCTACCTACACAGGGAAATACCAACAAGGGAACCAATGGTGATGATGAGAGCCAACATGAGCCTCTCCTCTCATCCCCTCGTATGAAAGCCCAGAGCCATCACGAGCCACTTCTCCAGTCTGTGATTGACCGTCTCCAGACGATCAAGACCATCGTCGTCAGCCACCCAAAGAATTTTAGCTTGTTGCTGTTCAGCTTCATGCTCACATCCCTTGCGAGCTCAGATACAAAGCTTCTTGTTCAGTATATATCTGCACGTTACAAGTGGACATTTGCATCCGCTGGGTATCTCTTATCTGGGAAAGCAATCGTCAACTTCACGTTACTCACCATTATTATTCCCAAAGTTTTACGATCTGCGCGCCAGGTGCGACAGGAAGATGCATCTGAGATAGCGGATAAGTCAAATATCCGGCACGCTATGTACTGCCTTGTTGCATCTGTATTTGGCGCCTTGGGCATCGCCATCGCGAGCGAGATCTGGATGTTAATCCCCTCGATGTTTGTCTACGCTCTTGGCTCTGCCCTGCCTATCTTCACTCTATCACTTCTCAAATCTCCTGTCATCTCGCCGCCTCATTCTTCAGACTCGTCCGATCCTGAACCTCACATTTTCTCTATTGTCATGCTGGTCAAGACTGTTGGGTCGCTTTTAGGGGCACCTTTGATGGCAGCACTCTGGGTCCGTGGTCTCGGAATTGGCGGCATGGCTCTTGGTATGCCGTTCTTCGTCAGCCAAGCATGTTATACTGTGGCCATTTGGGTTTTCGCAAACATAGAGGTAGACCGTGATGTGTTGGCTGTTGCAGAGCAGAGGAGACGCAATCGGGACTAAAGCTCAGAGAATACTAAGAGTTTACCCACTGCCCAACTCCCCATAATTGTGATCTTCTAGTCCTATCGAATTGCTTTGTTAATTCAATAAGAATGGTTGGGCAAGGCTGGCATGGTGGGTGCGAGAAACAACTATAGTTGCAGTACACAACTTTCAACCATGCAAATTGTTGCCTCAGGTTATTTCGAGATGAAAGGGCTCATCAAGTCGCAAGGTTCAAGATGTTTATGGAGATGATATTCGCGTCCCTGGCTTTTCTGAGACATGCAGTTACCCACCAATATCACCGCAGCCGCCCTCAACAATCATGACGCGCACCAGGATCTTGCTTAAAATGCTACGCAGTTCAGTATAAGGTCCGAAAATAGATGGAGACACGGAGTGCTGTGGAATCCGGCGGAAAGAAGTTGGCCGCCATACAATTGTGGTTCTGCGTGACGCTCGATTCTATCTGCCAGCACAACAGTCTGGTATATCACCTAAAACTGCTACAATTCGATGACCTTAAAATAGACTGAAAAGAACCTTTGCCCAGTTATAAGCATAACAACAACCTCGTCAAGTAAAGTTCGGCGAAGAACGCCAGAGCTAGGGTCCCGCGGTTAAGCTTAACCCTAGTCAGGGGTCGCGTTTCAGCATCGGGGAATTCTTCAAAAAACCGACCAGTGATCGACGCGTCGTCTCATTTAGTTGCAAGGGTTATTCACAAAACATCGCCCTATGATAGGTGGCAATATTGTTGTTTGAAACGAGCCGTATGGGCTGTATCAATTAAGAATTTTGCCATGTCAAACGGTGGGTTGTTTCAGTCTAAATGATCCACCTATCTTCAGAACGACAAGGCGAACTCGGGAATGTGGGCAATCTGATGAGCAAGACTTAGCTTCTGGGGCCATCCGGGGAGTATGTCACTGAGTTGACGAATGATTCCCGGGAAGTGACAAATGTATAAGTTTCCAAGACATCTCCTCCATTGAGTCCTCTTTTTGTTCTGTGTCTCATCATCACTTTCTTTGCATTACCCTTCACTCTTTCGACAAGCTGCGCTTGGTCATTCTTTATTTGTCTTAACAATTCCTAAAGTGTTTACTGGTTTGATACCATTTTCTGTCTTTTTACTCATCTTTCATTGCATTTCAAGCATCTTCCCTCCTAAACATCAAAATGCAGTACCGTGTGATCATGGCGGCCACTCTGGCCATTGGCGCCTATGCCGCTCCTGCTCCCGTTATTACTGGCGCTCCATCTCTCTCTCGTCGTCAGGATAGCGAGGGTGGCTCTGGTGGTTCTGGTGGAAGCAGCGTTCTCGATGCTCCCATGACCATCGCTGCCGGCGAGTCTTTCGATGGTGGTAATGCCATCTTCGACCGCGGTGTTTCCTGCACTGGCCAGGTCGAGGGCGGCGACTCTGATGCCGTCTTCATCCTCGAGAAGGGTGCCACTCTTTCTAACGTCCGCATTGGTAAGTTCAACCCGTCATTCCTATCCTCAGCCAGGACTAACTGTTACAGGTCCCAACCAGATCGAGGGTGTTCACTGCAACGGTGGCTGCACTCTTAACAACGTTGTCTGGGACGCCGTCTGCGAGGACGCTTTCTCCATTAAGAAGCAGGAAGACGGCGAGACCACTACTATTAACGGTGGCGGCGCTACTGGTGCCGAGGACAAGGTCATCCAGCACAACGGTGGAGGTACCGTCATCATCAAGGACTTCGAGGTCTCTGACTTTGGCAAGCTCTACCGCAGCTGCGGTAACTGCAAGGAGATGCCCGCTCGCCACGTCGAGATCTCTGGTGGTTCTGCCACCGACGGAAAGATCCTCGTCGGCATCAACCCTAACATGGGCGACACTGCCAAGATCTCCGGTATCCAGCTCACCAACGTTCCCAAAGAGTGCATCACTTTCGAGGGCGTCACTGACGGCAGTGAGCCCAAGGAGGTTGGCACTTGCGACTCTAATGCTGGCTCCGGTTCTGGCTCTGGCTCTGGAGACTCTACTGAGGCCCCTGCTACTCCTACAACTCCCGCCGATAGCTCTGAGACCCCTGCCGCATCTGAGGTTGCTGACCCAGCTGAGACTTCCACTGATGGCTCTCAGGGTGATGACCAGTCTGGCGACAACGACGATGGTGACAAGGATGAGTCTGATGATGACAAGAAGGACGACGACTCTGACGATGAGAACAAGGATGACCAGTCTGACAACGAGAACCAGGACCAAGGCTCTGATTCTGAGAACCAGGAGGGCTCTGGTAGCCAGCAGGCCCAGCCTTCTCAGCCCAACTTCAACTTCGGAAGCGGTGGCTTCGGCGGCTTCTAAGCAAGCCTAAAGATTGGGTCGGAGGCAACGTACAATCTACCCAAATACACCAGATGTACTCAAAGGCATCAACCACAGTTAAAAACTTGTGTTCTTGTATCTATATAGTTAATACTTATGGGGTTAAGATAATTGTTGAGGCGCTACCAGGGCTTTACTCTTCTACGTGACACTTAATTTCTCCGACATGATCAAAGTCTTCCTTTCACTCTTTAGTCTTTCGATAATGGATGGCCCTGGCTGAGATAATGTCATCGTAGTCACTTACGCTCATCAAGGTGGTTCCAAATTTAACCACCACGAACAATCTCTTAATTCTCAAAATTTACTTGGTTAGACAAAACCACTCAGCAGTGACAGAATCTCAATGACTACAGCTAGTCCAAAGTCAGTAATCGCCGGAAACAACACGTTGCCAAGCACGCAGCGCGTAAGACCTAACCCCATTCGTTCGTGAATATACAATGAGAACACACAGTTCGTATCAGATATGCGAAACTTGCATGATTGTAGAAAAAGGTAACAACGGTATTGCATGTCAAACCGCAATCTATGCCTGGGGCTGAGCTTGGAACCGGAACAACTCTACTCCAGCGGCCGTACCTCGTTGACTGCCAATAGTTTAACAACGGATCACTGCGCCGCTTCTTTTTAAGCATCCTTGATTGCGCTGCTTTGTTCCTATGCTGTTTCCTTGGCGTCAGGTCTTCGGTGACGTATTCTTCAACCCTCGTCATCCATTCCAGGGCATATTGGACATGCTCACACCCTCTTGATCAAGAGAGTTCGCAAATCGACGTTATTTCACTATCATCAGTCTTCATAAATACTTCAAAGCATTAAAGTACGCGGGTTTTACAAGTCTTGGTAAACATCTGACATAAGCAAATCTGGGTCGTAATTTGGATATTCACGATGTTATTGGATCAGCATAGCCTCCCCGAAGGATTCAGTCCAAGTGGCGGGTATTGATTTCATTCATTTCGCTAGCTCAACTGCGCCTTTTGCTTGGCTCGCGCTGCCTAGCGCGTTGCAATTTTTGTGTGATCATAAAAACCTTCACGTCAGCCCAGTTTCTAAAGTTGCAGTAACCTTATCGATCTTCTCCACATTCGTTTCTTATTTCCGTCGTAACACAATGGGTGCATTCCAGAAATGTGCCGGTCTTGTGCTATTTTTGGCACAGCTTGCACCTGTCCAGTCTATGAAGCTTGACAGCAAGGATGGCATCTTGGACGCGTCTAAGGGTCTCGCTGGGGATCTCATCAGCTTCTACAAGGGCAATGAGAGTGGCCAAACCCCTGGTCTTCTCCCTGAAAGAACTATGGGAACAGATGGGTACTATTGGTACCAGTCGGGGGCCTTCATGGGTTCTTTTGTGGACTATTGGCAATTGACGGGCGACAAGACCTACAACAACCTCGTTACGGAGGGCATCCAATGGCAGGTTGGCAAGGAAAAGGACTTCATGCCAGCCAACAACACCGCGAGCATGGGTAATGATGATCAGTCCGTTTGGGCATTTGCTGCCCTGACAGCCGCCGAATATGGCTATCCTGAACCCTCCAAGGGCCAACCTCAGTGGCTCGATCTTGTCATTGCAGTCTGGGAAGAGCAACGTGCGCGATGGGACACAGAAGTAGAGCAGAAGACCTGCGATGGCGGTCTTCGATGGCAAATCATGATGACCAACGCAGGTTTCAACTATAAGTCGAGTATGTCGCCTCAGCAAGCTCAACCTTCAAGTCACTAACTTTTATAGCCTTGGCCAACGTTCTTTTCTTCAACATTGGCGCTCGTCTTGCCAGGCTCACATCCAACGAGACGTACGCCGATTATGCCTCAAAGACCTGGGACTGGCTCGAGACCAGTGAGTTAATCGACAAGGAGACTTGGGCAGTCTATGATGGTGCTCAAGCTACAAAGGCTACCAAGAACTGCACAAATATCAACCAGATCCAGTGGTCCGCCAATTCGGCAGGACTCACAATGGGTGCTGCATTTATGTACAACTTTGTAAGTACATAACTTGATGCTGAAGGGTTTAATGCTGACTCCTATCTCTAGACTGAAGGATCAGACGAGTGGAGGAAACGTACCGAGAGCCTCGCATCAGCAACCTTGGAGACATTCTTCAAAAAGAATGGCGACTTCAATGAGATCGCGTGTGCGAATAGCAAAGGAGAATGCCCTCGTGACATCGTCATGTACAAGGGCTTCACGCACCGATGGCTTGCAGTGGCCACCCAGGTGGCTCCCTTCACAGCCAGTTCCATACTCCCTGTTCTTCGAAAGTCAGCTGAGGGCCTGAAAGCAGAGGGAAATGGCGGTGATGCCTTGGAACAGAAGTTCTCCAACTTTGTTGTCGTTTCCAACTTGTTGATCGATGACTCTTCTACCCCTGGGCATCAGAATGAGACCAGCGAGACGGACAAGGCGGAGGATTCTCCCTCTTCGACTTCTGGTCCTGCTACCAAGTCGTCATCTGCTGAAGCTGAGGGTAACTTTGCCATCAAGCTTGCGGGTTCAGGTAGCTTCCTGGCTTTCTCCGTGCTCATGATGGCTTCCCAATGGATTCTGTAGAGCTATAGTTGAATAGGGTTGAAACTTGGCCGGACTATTGCTTGGATGCTCAGATATTATCGAGTGCTGAGAATTAACGTGTATAGAGATTTATGAGACACAAAAACTATAGAACCACCTGAAAGACATGTTCGTATAGCCCTCACCAGGTCTGAGCGACATAATTCTAACATTTCCCTTGAAATGACTGAGTTAGTGAGGATAATCTGGGATCTGATGGTTGAAACAACGTGATCGATTCGGAGCCAAATCTAGGTCCCGGTGGAGACCGACGATGGCTTCCAGGTTTTGGCCCGCATCGGAAGCTAAGTGGAGCTCTAGAAACTTTCCGAAGGTCCGGTGGAATAGAGACCGAAGTCTACCGAAGCTTGGGGCTGATAGTGGATCATTGCGTTGGAGATACTCCAGCATGAAGTTTGCAATCACAATGCGGCGCGTATTTAGTTTTGACGGTTGATTCATTATTATGTGCATATTTTCTAGAACTATACGCCTAGAAATCTGATCCAGTTTATGTACAATTCGAGGAAAGATCGTTACACTGCTCGGCCAATAGCAGCTGCTGCTTTCCTTGCTAAATCCAATGGTCCTTTGCCATCGTTGGCTCCAAGATTCATTCTTTCAGAGACCTCAATGCGATTCTGGTATACATAAGTTTCTTCGAACATTCCTTCTCATTTCATCAAGGGACTGGGGTATCCGTGGTGTAGTAATGGTATGTCGGGGCGTGGTGTAACGTTTCATATCGTTATTCGGTGGGATAAATCCCGACGCGATGGGTTAAGGCGGCCATCTAGCAGATGACAATGCCGTGTTTGTGGTGGTATGTGATGTGATGGCCATTAATCATCTATTGTCGGCCAGTAGGAATAGAGATGCCAGACCAGCGAGGAGCGGATGAAGGCTCAAAGACGTTGGTGCCCAGAGGAGGGTCACGGCTGGTAGTGGTAGCGGAGACGCTGGGTGTCTCAGTGACAATGGCGGAAGTCTCGGAAACGTTGACACGGTTGCCCCAGAACTTATCCATGATAGGATCATGGACAGCAGAGTCGCGAGTGTTGGAGAGGTTACGGCTGGGCTCGGTGGTGCTCAGTCGTCGAACCTGGGTAAGTCCACGGAGAGCACGAGGAGCAGTGCGAACACCGCGGGAGAGAGTCTGGATGGAAGAGCTCATGATGAAAGTGTTGGAGATTAGATTGGATAGATGAGTGTGCTGATCAGATAACAGATGATTTGGAGTACAAAATCTGGGGAATTCGGAGTTCTTTCAATCTACTTATATCCTTCTCGGGCTGGTCCCCGGGCTGAGGGTGCTTCGGCTCGGATGAAGGGAATGCGCCTGGAAAAGGCAATTCCCCGCAACAAAACTCCCCGCATTATCACCGGTTCACTCCGCATTTACCCCAAAGTGGCCTGACATTTAACCTGGAACCCGATGTCGGTAGTTGTTTGCCAAGGGCGATGAGAGAGTGACATGTCTGTCCATACAATGAAGCTACAGGGCTTAGGTATAGAGACTTTGTGGGCTTGTTTCTGGATATCTTGCATCTCGATTGTCTGCCCACGTCTCCCCCAAGTTCTGTCAATGTCAGGCCATCCGATAATGCAACCGTACCACGCGCGATGCTAACCCATATGTACTTGACGACTGGCAATGTGAATTCCTCTTGTCAGGAGATGAGTCGCTGTCACTACGCGCGCTGGGGGAGGCCTTTTACTGTCTAAACATATAGAGATGCGTACATAATATCGAGGTACTATGGTCGCCGTTCAACCGAATCGTTGTCGGTCAGGAAAAGATGGTGGGTGTGATTCTGTGCCGTGCCGTTGAACTTATCCAGCCAATACCCTTGCACGGCGGGTTTGCTGGACGGATGACTCGTTATTTATAGAAGACTACCAGTCTCTGTCTCTCTTATACGATGCACAATCCTATCAAACACTACAGCCATGAACCTCATTTTTTATAGGCTGCTCTTGAAACGATGAGGTTTGAGCGTCAACAAAGTACTGAAGCAGATACCGATAACACAAAGTGGTATAATCATACTGTATTGGTCTACAATGAATTGCAGAAGGTAACATGAAGGTCTTCGGGCCCCTCAAGCCAACATAAAGACAAAGAAAATCGAACTCTAGAATAAAGATTTTGTTGAGCAGTTACTCGCAGATAAAACAATTTCAGATTGCATCATTACCTTCCAAATCATGGAACCGATACCTTGCGCCTTGGAGATCATCATTGACCCCTGAAATCAAAAACGGAAAAGCGATAGAAACTCAGGAAGATACACGCAAATGGAGTAGACAAGACTGTCTCAGCTTCATGTCGATCAAGTAAAGTTGATGCATATGATAGTATGACAAAGCGGGTTGCTGTTATCAAAGGAGAGAATTAAGCAGCCCACGGTTTTCGGTGGGCGTCATCAAGGATCGTCATTTGATGTTGTACGTCGCTGTGGACGTAAAAAGTCGTTTTCGAGGGCGTATCGAGAGTACCGAATGTGCCCGCTCGCTTATCATCGTCGAGGTTGGTTATGGCACTGCTCCCGTTTCGTTCATACCTAATCATCGCTATACTCCGTCTTTCCATCAGCCAAAAGGATCGCCTTCGGTGGCCGACTGAATCCAGCGTCTTCGTAATGTCCATCGCCTTTTATGACAAAGAGTTCCGGCCACGTCGACCACGGCGAGATTCATTGGTGGCTGTCTTGGTAAGGGCGTTATCCACCGTGACATCGTCCTTCTTGATACTCCTTCGTGGGATCCAGAAAAGCTGAACTGCTCCAATGGCAGCCACAACAACGCAGCTGAACCACGCTGACACGGAACCTGACAGGGCATAGAAAACTCCAGCAAGAGGTGGCGCAACAGTACGTGCCAAACAGGCACTAGACATAGCCAAGCCGTTGACTCGACCAAGCACTTGAGGAGATGGGGTAGCATCCTTGATAAGAATGAGAGTAACGGGTGCCACTATCAACCCGCAGAAACTCTGCATCAACAACGATGCGTAGATTCCCAAGGAGACAACTGGTTCGCCAAACGCAGAGAGGAAAGGCATGAGCATGTAGGAGACAGGGTACAGAATAATCATGCTCACAAACGAATGCCATACTCCAACGCGACTAACGAACACGGGGAAGATGACGGCCTGGATGAACAGACCCAGTACTCCGTTCACTGCAAGGTATACGCCGACATCGTGTACAGTGTAACCAAGACCACCAATCCAGTCAATAGTTCCGCGTTTCTCAGCAGGATCGTCGAGCAGATACGTGGCAAGAAGACTGCTTGCAGCCATCTGGTGATACGAGAAGATAAGTAGTGCGACGATGAGCATCATAATCGTCTTGTTGAACGTTCTTTCGCCAGACTTGGCCTGCTCGTCCTCTTGCTCCTCGTTGGGGGGCGTAAGAAGATCCTGAGGGAGAACAATGGAGTGCACAGTTCCAAAAGAAGAGCGGCGGAGGTCGATAAAGTCGTGCTCAACTGCCATTCCAAGACTGGACTCGGCGAAACGAGGTCGCGATCGGCTGGTGGAGGGTGACATATGTCGACGGCTGCGAGAAACGGAGCTGCGAACGGCAGAGCGTCGGAGAGGCGTGCGCTCATCAATAGATTCGAGATCGTCCACAGCGGGGATTTCTTGATAGTTGATAACACCGTTCTCGCCCTCAGATCCGGGCTTGACAAGGGTCTCCTCGAGGAGGAAAAGTCCTTGGATGACTGCGATGGCCACCACGGCCACTGACACAAGGTTAGGGAGCAGGTAAGGATATCGTCCAAACAGTGCATCCTCCGAAAAGATTGAAGGATAAAACTTTGCGGGTTGAGCGAGGAAACCTCCCATCGCGGATCCGATGATGCCGCCAAGAGTCCAGACGAAAGGCTGCACAGCGTAAGCCTTGGCTGTAAGAAAGTTAGCATTCTTTCGATGATATCCCAGGTGGAAATGAAACTTACGCTCATGCTCGGGTAATTTCACCATCTCAGCGACCATAGTCTGCATGACAGAAACGTTTCCATTCAGCGCGCCGCCGACAAACCGTGCCAGCAGAGCAACCCAATAGCTCTTGGCCAAACCAAAGATGAGACTCGACAAAGCCACGCCAACAAGTCCAAACAGAACAACAGGCTTTCGCCCGACGCGGTCCGACAGAATACCCCATCCCATCGAGGTCAGCGCCTCAGCGACCGCATACGCCGAGACGAGCAGTCCGGCATAAAGTGAAGCATCTTTCTCCGCAATGCCCAAATCCTTGACCATCACAAAAGTGTAGGCCAAAATGGAATTAAAGGCAATCGGCTCCGAAAAGCGACATATTGCTGCAGTCGTGGTTAGCGCTCGTGAGATTATCATGGGTGAGGGGCCATCGTGGCGGTGAGAGAGAGGCACGTACCGAGAATTAGAAGTTGCCTTGTAGGGAAAGCATTAGGATCTTTGTCTTCCCTTGCTCTCAAATTCATGATATTTACAACGAATCTTGAGTTTCCTTTCTTCTTCTCTTGGAAAGTAAATGATCTGAGAGAGCAAGGGTGTGAATTTGCAGGATCTGAAAGTGAAAAGAGAGTCCAGAGAGAAGGAAAAAACTCTTTTGGCGGGCCTCATGACTCTCAAGTAGCCTAACAAGAAAATCCACGGCCGCTGAACCAGTGCGCTTGTGGTACTACGGCCCGCAAACCGACTCGGTGCAACGCTACTGTAACCCCCCACGCAAGTTTTGCAGCGTTGCCACCCCCCCGGTCAATTCACGACATGTCTATCACTTGGCAAACGAGGGGAAAAGATCCTGGTTTACGGAGAATCTCTGCTAATACTGCGGCTACGGCTATTCTCAGCGCATCATCATTATCGTTTCATGCAAGACATGGGCTAATGGAATGGGTGTTGGCGGAGATTGAATGCCTCTGTGCATTCCCGCGTCAACCCCCTCCCCTGCTCATTACTCAAGATTCCGATTGCCTAGTACCAACATGAATCACTCACTGTAAGAATTTGTTCCTTTTAAGCTTCGAGCTTGAGTGGCTTGTTCTTGACCGCTTGCTTTATGGTCGGATGACAATAGAGTAGCCTTGCCTTAACAAAATGCGGATGATCAGTGGCAAGTCTTTACCGTGAACGTTGTTTGCCACTAACGGGAGACAAAGTAACTTTTCGCTGGCCGCGATGTCAAACCGCATATTGCAACTGTCAAAATGTCAAACGAACTCTAACAACCGCAGCGCAACCTGCAACAAACGACGACATATCGCATACAATTTCATCACAATACTGATTCAATATTCACTGAAGCCAATTAAGACTTTTGTCTCACTTGGCCCAGATCTTCCGTCGCACACCATTCTTCTGCCAAGTCACCAACCGCCCATCTTTCAAGTGTGGCGAAACGGAAATCGTTCAACCCACTAACGTCTAGTGAGAGGCGAGCCAATCGACACCGAGCTTTCACAGCTATCATGCGAGCACGATGAGGCTGAAAATGGCAAAGACGTTTTCATGCAACAGGATGATGTGGTATCGGTTGACGACAGATCGGATCCAGATCTTTATGTCCTCTCAGCTTCCCTATTGAGGTCCGAGCTTGCTCTGATCTGCAGGCTTCTTTTCACTGCACGGACCCGTGATATCCGCGATTTCGTAGCGAGAGATAAGCACGATTAGGCGCTGAATCCCAGGAATCCACGGCTATATGCAGAGTAATACATCCGGACCAATAAATCATATTCTACAATTTATTGAGAGGCTGAAAAGCTTATGCTAGCACAGCATTAGTGCATGAATATGATGCTCCCGTGGGCTGGAGCCTGGTACCGTCCCCGCTCGCTCACCGGTTTCTTTAGTTCCTGGTGGCTGGGGGCTGGCGCTTCAGCCTTGACAACGAGAGTCGGTAATTGAGCGATGTTGTTCTACAACGTATGATCGAGCTTATGTCCATGGAATAATCCTTGATGATGCGCGAATATGATACAAGCTCCCGAAGACGTGTTACGGGTAGTTGGGTACCATACCCGTTGCAACGAGAAATCCGAGCACGTGAATTTCTCAGAATAGGACGCTGAAACATGGCATGCAAACCAAATCTGCTGATGGATACTGAGCATGGTACACTAAGGACTAACTTTCGTGGGTTGTGATATTGTATTCGCTGGTCTATGGTCTCCAGTGTCACAGTTCTGAGCAAAGCTCCCTAGCCATGACAATTTCTGTTTCTTGTCAAACACCGGTTAATCAACCCGGCATGTGGCTTACCCTTTGTGTTCATCAAACAAATTGCTTTTGTCCCATGTGCGACAGATCATCTCGAGAACCGGACTGCTGATTCATTATATACTTCTGTATCACCGTCGCTGGCAAATACGGTGGGTAGCACGACCCTCGTATTGAGTATACCCCTGCAATGTCTCAATATTCTATGCACGGGGACAAGCGTCTGCAGTCGGAAACGTGGTTTGGAAGACTCATTGGGATAAGTCTCAGCGTCATAGAAGGTGAAACAAGTACGACACAATGTCTTGGGCGTTGTTGAGCCGTTCCGTTGGTTTCACTTATAATTTCTTATTCACTGACTTGTCCCTGTATCATATCGTGCATGTTGCCTTGGTGATTCATCAAATTGGCATCATCGAGATCTCAAAATTGCTTGTCCGTGTACTGGAATGAGCTTTTCTCTACGCGCTGTGTCACATATTGTTCCAGAAACGGAGGATATTCGAATCGGACGTACACAAACTGTCTCAGTTAATTCTTGCAGCAACAGTGATAGTGATGACTAAATTTAGAGGATTTTAGATTGAATATAAACAGGCGGCTATAGTTGACCATGAAACAATGTGAAAAGACGAATAATACTGCATCAGATGTTACATTTGAGGTCGTCCGCTAGGTTATGCAAATTTAGTTCTGGGACGTTCCTGAAGCTCCCCATCCAAGATAATATCAACCTTCTCGTTATAAAAGCAGACTAGTCGTGCAATCGCTGCGCTCTCAATAGTTGGGTGGTTATAATACCAAACAAGGTTCTCGAATGTTTTTCCGTCAATGACAATATTATAGTATTCAGCCTCGCCCTTATACGGACACTTGGATCTGGCAGGGCTTTTCGACAGGACAGTCTGATCAACAGCGGAGAGTGGAAGATAGTAACGGGTCGGCAAACCTGTCTCGAGGAGATGCATGGACGATGTAGCTTTCGCAACTGTTTTGCCGTTGACTTTGATCTCAATAGGACGCGTGGAGTGCAATATGTCAACGCGCTTAAAGGGATCTTTCGCGTGGACGAAGATGGGCTTATCTTCCTCAAACCATTGATCTAACATCCGTCAGCGCGTCGATATTTTCAAGTCATACTCGAAAGCTTACCTATGCTGCGGAACTCAATCCGCACCATATCAGAAAGTGGCCCAAGGGTCACATCTTGGAAGAAGCGCAAAACATGATCCACCTTTGCCTCCTTGATACTATCATGGGCTGGGATCACGAGTTGAGCTATCGCGGCCCTCTCTTTGAGCTCCACCGAGATGTTCTTCTTATCAACCAGTTTCGCGTTCTTCACATCAATCACCGGTACATAGATCGTGGGGTAATTATTATGTTCCCAGACATAAACGGCATGAGTAGTATCCACAATAGTGGTATGGTTGTGAATGGCGCGTATGCGGCGGGATGTCTGCATTGTTTTGCGGGGACCATGTTCGATCAGGCTCTGAGCGAGCTCAACCAGACCTGAGGCACTGCTCATATTGAGATATAACTTGATATGTTTATGTTTCGTGGTTTTGTGTTTCTTCAATAAAGATATGGCAGTTTCAGAGAATGTTGGATGAAGACAAGTACCCCGCTCAATGACGCAGACAATATTAGATACTGGCATTGATTTATAATCATCGCTGCAGAACGACTAACTCGAATATGAGAATACTTATGACGCTTTAAATATCTACTGTTCTTATATGTAATTTCTTAAATACTCAATGAGATATAAATAGTTCCCGCTTTGCTGCAAGCGTATGGCTAGCTTTGGGTACAGTGATACTAGAACTTAGGTCTAACACGATTTAACGCATTCTCTGGTAAGTTAGTCACAAATCGACTGGCGCAATTAAATGTCTCGTTAACTCAATAAGCCATCTTTCTCTTTTTGTTCGAATTGATGATTTGGCTGGGCCATTCCGAGACCAGTTATGGGCAACTTGACTGACCGAGCTGTAGAGGATGAGTTGGCAACTTTGCTGCATGCCTGACAGTAAACTCTACATTTTTCATCATAAACATTCACACATCGGAGTTACCTTCAACACCGTAGATCAGGATAGGCCATGACTGGAGCTTTTGGGTTCCCTGGAAATCCCTGAGCCAAGCGAAGAGACATTAAAGGCTTGGAGAAACACAGTGAGAGTTGGCGAGTTGGCGCATAAACATTGCGGATTTCATGAATGCTTCATGTCGTCCTTATTAACGGAAAACTTGGGGTTTCGAAATATGGAGTGTCACAGCAACCTAATGAACTCGGGATTTATGCAGTGAGATTTTGATCAGCCAGCAATGGAGCCTCCGCCTCAATGAAGGCCCTCCATCGTGGCGGAGTCATGGTTAGGCAGACAAGCGGCATGACTCAGCTGACAGCAGACAGCTTCGTTATATACCATCCGACACGTTTTATACCATGGTAATAAAACAGATATTTCCCATGTTCGTCCTAATTCATCTCTCGAAACTACATATCTCAGATCGAAATATCAAACCACCAAGTACCTTCACCATGACAAACGAAAAGAGATTCACCGGCTCCCGCATCAACGTCAAATCCATCGAAACCCCCTCGAGCGCAGAATGGCGCATCCGCGTATCGGGCCCAAATATGATAAACCTCATGAACGGCCACCGTCCACGAGACATGGACGACAAATGGATGTGCATGACGACAGGGCCCGCCGATCAAGGACTGATCCGCGTACGCATGTGCAGAAGCTGGTCTGACAGAGAAATCATCGCGCTTATAGGTCGTGTCGGAAGTGATGATGAAGCGATTATTGCCGAGGAAGGGGGGGAGATTTTGGCGATTATGTGGCCGACGCCGGAAGAGGATGAGTATGACCCTTGGGATGAGGAGAGTGCGAAGAAGTTTGCTGTTGGGTTCTGTCGGCATTTGATGAATTGTGAGCTTGAGGATTGATATGAGCCCGGCGGGAATCATTTTGTTCGGAACCAGATTATGATATCCTGGTGTGTTTTCGTTGAATTTTCTCATCTTTTTGTTCGTTATACAGAATAGCCCATCAAGAACGCCGATGCTCCATTTTCACGTAATCGTTGTCTCTACGTCCAAGCCTGGATTACCTTGAATCCAATGATTTGATGCTAAGTCTTGAGTCAGCTTCTCTGTCTCAGTGGTTGGTGGTTGGTTTAAAATGAAACCGACCGCTCAATGTCCTTCGACTCAAGGTCACCTCGTGGGCTCGCCTCTTGGTGGTGAAGGCATTCGTGCAGAGGCAGCTCTGACCTCCAATCGCTCCGTCGCTCGGCGATGTGTTTCTGCTACTGGGCGGGCTGTTGCAGTATACGCCTGTCGATGAGGCTGCTGAAATTGAATGGGCTGTTGGTTGTTGATAAGTGGTGCTGAATCCGCAGAACGGTTTGGGAAGAGGTCGTCAATGGCTTCCATGAGATCCTCGTAGAGCCCCTTGAATAACGGCACAATCCCGCACATTTTCACACGCTTTAATGTTGATGAGAAGAATCGTGTCGCGAATGATGAGTTTTCTGCGAAACCATTACGGTGAAGATGATCTGTGCAGAGATCACGTGCACCAGTGTAACGATGAACAGGCTTCCATTCGGAATAACTTCAATCAAGGCTCAACGCTTGGAAATGCCATGGAGATTTTTCTCATTAATGCCCTTGATTATGGTTATTTGTAGTGTAAAAGAATGCGCTTTACATCTTGGGTTTCCTGCCAGACTTCTTGAAATGACCCGCCTCCCCAGCATTTCCCTCTCTGCTATCCTGCTCTTGAGCGTTCTGGCTGTTGATATTCTTCTCCTTCCCAGTCATGTTCTGGTCTTCAAACGAGCTCGCATCGCGTTTTCCCGGTGCGCCCTTCAGCGAAGCCATGGCTCCGTCCGAGTGGTCGGCGACTGGTGGATTGTTCTTGTCGTGGTTGGGATCGGAAGACATTGGTGTTTTGACCTTGCCCGAGTTCGTGCGTATAGCGGTGTATGAGCTCAACGCCGGTCGAGATCGAAGGGCGGATGTGACGGTCGGGATGCGTCTGAAGGAGGAGAGAGATTGACGTGCGAGGGTCATGATTGCGAAGAGTCGAGACGAGTAGAAGGAATATGTATTTGATGACGGTATGGGGATATTTTGTGAAAGCCTGTAGAATTGATGTTGAAGAACTGAAGAAGCAGAAGAATCGTGGTTGTTTCATGGGTAGTTACTGTAGCAAAAGTAATGACGACATTTCTGAAGCCGACATATCGTCAATCATTGCAATGGTTGATGTCATTGATACATCAATTGACTTCATCCTCCAGGTTCCACAAATTCCCAAAGCGAACTCCATTTACCTTAATTACTCCAGATTTTCGACTTGTCTTGTGTTTTGCCTTTCAAATACCAATGGAACTTCACCTCTCAATGCTCTCCAATGATTAGTTGCATTCATCAGCTCGGGACATCCTTCAACAGCCCATCCCCATCTTTCCAGAAACCCAGGCGTCACCTCCCAGCTCTCCATCCGATGTGGCTCTCCCCAGATTATCATGCCACGCCGATCTGAAGCATAGTCACTAGGTTTGCCCTTTGATAGAAGTCGACGACCCTGCGGCCCGGTACCTTGTCCGTACTTGTTGAGCATGATATCTTGCAGTAAATCTCCCATTACGTCAGTGACAAGTAGTCGATGATTGAAATGATTATGATGAGTGATAAGATTATCTCTCATCTTGGGGAATGGAATAAAATCGATCCAAGTCGCATGTACTCTGTTCGATTGGAGAGCTGTAGGACGAAGATGAGGCGGTATATCAAGGCCTGTTTCAACACAAATGGCATCGCGCTTCAAGCCAACCATTACATCTAGTTTCTCAGTCCGACCCTCTGTTAGTGCAAGATGATCTGTCACTTTTGAAAGGGTTGCTTTGTTTTGAAACAGCCCTCTGAAAGCATTGTAGTTTATGAGATAGAGAAGCTGGTCCGAGAGAGGTGACGTCCCGCTTGTCAATGCCCGTTGGCGTTGATGCATGTCGAGCTGCCGGCTGTATAACTCAACATCTGTAGTGCTCAATGTTCCCTTGTATATAGTGGTAAGAAACAATCTTGAGTCTTGCTTAGTGATGGAGCCTTCATCATTGTCGGCTTCGGAGCGGGAGGATTTGGCCTTCAGGTCAAACTCATCTACCTTCCAGAGCTTGACTCCAAATGCCGGCCTTTGCTGCTTGGCACGAGCTTTAGATGTACCATCGTTGTTCATGCGATTTCCTGTGTGCCAATGTCAGAAATGATCAGGCCAGCCTCCAGAGTAGGAAGTATTGTCATCAGAATTGTCCGCCGGATTACTTACGGCGAGCTCGTTGGTTAATCCTGTTTTGCAGCTTACGGCGCTGCTTTCTCTCGGAATCTTCCATGATCGGTAGAATTAGGGACGGATCTTGTTAAACTCCAGCAATAATGATCAACCAAAAGGCTAGTGGGCTATAGCAAAAGTAGAAAAAATGTAAGCTTTGGTCAAAAACATGGTCGACTTGGGGTTGTAATGGATAAAGTCTCCACGTGAACTGACACACCGAGATATGTCACGCTAATACGAATCGGGGTAAAAAGTCATCCTCGCATGATATGATCTGCAAATCCGAATGAGAATATCCTTACTGAAATGGCTTTTGTATAAGCCTCGCGGGCTTTTGCTGTTCTGTTCCCTTATTTCCGACGATACGCCACTGACGGACGTTATGACTCCGTCCAAGGGACCAGCAGCGTGTATGGTATACCCTCAGGAATCATTTGGTGATTCATTCTCTTTTAGGTTGCAATGTCATCAGGACTTGAACCGGTTGGCATAGCATGGCGGTTTTGGGAATAGTGTTTGGGCTACGTCCTAAGCTGCAGGAATTTACTATATATTCTGGACATGCCGCAACATTAGACCAAAATCTCTTCAGATCAACCTAATATCCACTTTGATTTTAACTATCTTGCTTCTCAATTTCAGCTTACGCAACTTTAACATGTCTCGCTACGCCTCTCTCTACACCAACCCTCAAGGCCCAGGTGACAGCCGGCCAACTGCTCTGCAGGTCGTCCAGGATGAGCAGATGCAGAACCAACTGGTTGGGAAGACCGCTGTCATCACTGGCGTTTCATCCGGTGTCGGCATGGAAACCGCACGAGCTCTTGCTGCTACAGGAATAAAGATCTTCCTGACTGCACGAAACCTTGATAAAGCCAAGGAAGCTCTGGCTGATTTCTGGAACCCAGATCAGATGGAGCTTATACAACTTGAGCTAAGCTCCATGGACAGTGTTCGGGCTGCCGCAAAGACTATCCTTTCTAAGACTGATCAGTTCAGTATCTTCATCGCCAATGCTGGTGTCATGGCCATCCCAGAGCTCACAACTACTGCCGATGGTTTTGAGGAGCAGTTTGCTACAAACCACTTGTCTCACTTCCTCTTGTTTGAGCTCCTCAAACCGGCTCTTCTCGCAGCGTCAACCCCGAAATTCCAGTCTCGGGTCGTTGTCGTCTCAGCTACTGCCCATCGTATGCAAGGCCTTCCCGCCTCGAACGACTACAGTTACGAGACCAGTTGCGCTTCAGCTTACACCCCCTGGGAAGCATACGCACGCTCTAAAACAGCCAACGTCTACATGGCTAACGAGATTGAGCGTCGCTATGGCTACAGAGGCATCCATGCCAATAGTGTCGCCCCAGGATTGGTTGCCTCCAGCATTGGTCGCCATATTCCTCAGGAAGTAATGGCAGCGGTTGTTGGTGACAAAATGCATGAGGTTCAGAGTCTCGAGCAAGCGGCTGCAAGTACTTTAGTCGCTGCTGTTGGTAGAGACTGGGAAGGAAGAGGAGGTGTTTACCTTACCAACTGTAGTGCTGCGGAACGGGGCGAAGATGACGGTGTTTCAACTTCGTACACGTATGTTTCTCACACTTACAACCCCAGAGATGAGCAGAGACTGTGGAATGACTCTCTGGCGATGACGAAAAAGTGGAATAACTAGAGCATAATTCGTAAAGAGGAAAATTGAATGGGTTTACGAACCAGCTGTATACAGACCAACCACTCAGCTCTACAACTTTCCTGGCTTCAATTTATATCCATTCATTTATATCATCGCATATACATCACTACATGACGAGCGCATCATCACAGTAAGGAATGAATGCCATTCGTCAAGTAGCTTCAAGTCAGTCCGCTTTGAAAATGCTGCATCATCCAAGGAGTTCCATTTAAATGATATAAAAATTAGGTTAGAAGTTACATGGGATAGCCTCGTATCCAGCGCCTTTCAACAAAGACAAAGGAAACATCATCAGCCTCCATATTCTCCTATGCGAAGACAACATACATCAAACATCGGTCAAAGACATCAAGAGGGTTAGTAAGTTGAAAGATTCCAAAAATTCCCATACCAGGCGCACCCAGGATGGAGTTGGTCGCTTTAATGAAAGAATGGGAGTTCTCAAAAAGCATAATTCCTCTCTCAGCTTATTGCTTCACAGAGCAAGAAAAAGCCCAAGCACTAAGATATATAACAAAGAAGAAAAAGAAATTGGAAGAAATAGGGGGAGGGCGAGGCTTTATACTTGTTTCTATCAAGCCAACATGTCAAAGTTCAGGCAATTGATCAAGCCAAAGAAAGTATATGAGCGTGGTGGAAGATTCTACGAAGTCAGAAGCCATTCCTAGTAGTTAGGTATTGATGCTCCGCCTAGCTGCCTAAAGTTCATCCTTCCAGCATTCAGTTCATCCTATAGCCTTTCTTAGAATGCGCCTGAAGGCTTTAATGACTACTAGAAAGTTTATTGGTGGTAAAGTTGCGGATTCGAGCCAGGCAGTGCAATTTCAGCCTCATAAGAAAGCGACTCACGACAATGCTTTCAAGTATAAACTAAGAGTTTAAAATTAATGTTTGTCTTAGAACTCGACCTGAGGCTGATCTCCGTGCGCTAATGACGTGTTATACGAACGTACTTTCGACCCAGGAGTGTTCCCTCTCAAGAAACTCCTTGAAGGTTGTTAGAGGAATTCCCCAACCTTTAACTTCACCTATATCGACCTTATCTCCCAAGCCTCTCGACATCAACTGTATAACAACAAAGATATCCTCATTTTTCTTCGCCTCGATCTCATCATCAGTCAGGTAAACAGCTTTCAAAGGTTTTCCGCTCGCTTCGCCCAGTTGTTGCATAATCTCATCCGGTGAGAGTTTCTCACTTGCAATTTCGATGGTCTGCCCATGGAAGCGGTCTGGCTCACGGAAAGCCGCCACAGCAAACTTTGCAAGGTCCTCAATATCCATAACTGGTAGCTGTTCCTCTGGCGTGTAGGCAGTAGACCACGTATTGCTGCCTACCAGGCCGGAGCACATGATATTGACTTTAGGCGCCAGGAAGTTACACATGAAGAATCCTCCACGGAGAATTGTCCATGCCTCGAAGCCGGCGTTCTTGACGAGATTTTCAACCTCTCTCTTCCATCCGTGGGCGCGTCCAACAGGGTGTTCAGGGTCATGGTATCGGTCCTTCTCCATATCTTTGATGGCCATGCCGCTGGAGTAGATGATGTGTTTAACGCCTGCTGTCCTAGCTATGTCGATGATCCGCTTCGCTGCCGGTATCTCTGAGGTGAATGTTGTGATGTTTGGTACCAGATTCATGAACACATGTGTGCATCCGTTGATGACCTCCTTGAGAACTGCTTCGTTGTCCCAATCACCAGGTGTAACTTCAGCGCCTTGATCTTGTAGTCTCTTGGCGGCGGGAGAGTCCATGTTACGAGCTGTAGCTCGTACGGTCCAGCCAAGCTCGAGAAGCTGTCTCGCAACGGCGGATCCTTGGGAGCCGGTAGCACCCGTGACAAAAACGACATTCTGTGACATTGTGTAAGTCTTGAAAGAGACCTTCCGGTTTGATACTAGTATAAAGATATTTGAATCGTGTAAATGGCCTGCTTTAAAGCTAAGTCTCTTGGCTACCCAGGTTTATAAACTGCGTATGGTTCGTTGCTATCCTATGTTGAAGTGCGGAGTTGCGGACTTTCAATGTCCTGCAACAGCCCTCCGCCCTCAACACGTTCTATTCGTCCTCGGATCATGGTATCCATTATAGTTTGGACATGAAGGGGTCAAATTTATCCGAGTTAGATAATCATATACGCACGAGCCAATAACGTCACCCGCCGGCCGTGGTGTTCTTCCGTGTCTGATTAATGTGAGGAGCAACTCCGCCAAGGTTTTGCATTGATTTGTCACCCAAAAGGCAGGTCCTGTGAGGCATAGTCACTAAACCTGGAAAAATCAAATATGATACCGTTGTTAGAGGTGCTTCTATACAGAAAATTCAGGCATAACTATTTCTATGTACATGTGTATGGCTTTCATTAGTCCGGGACAAATCTGGAACTGTTCGTTACTTTTCTTCTCATTCATCTTTTTCTGTAAATAGGTCTCATGATGTCATCAAATATGCACACTACTCTCGGGGCTTTTGTCCACATATGACATATCTGTATTCTTGTTAGTTCTCTTTCCCCGTGGCCAAGGTTCATAACTCACATAGGCCAATATGCGTGGATGGAAGGATTCTTGAGATCCTTTCTGACGTCAGTAAGGAAAACATCTAACTGAAGTTTTGACCAGCCAAGAACTCTCGTGAAGAGAGCACTGCTGATTCCCTCGAGGCCACTCGAAATATTTTCAAGAGTCCAAGAACCTAAATTTCGTCAGCCTGTGTTGTCCCACGAGTGCTACGAATGTTAATTTATTACCCAGCTCTTTATACTTTGGGCCCCTAGGCCAGCGGTTTTGAGGCCATTTATAAATTCGCTGTGTGACGTTCTGGAAGCCAGCTGCTTCCATCTGTGTTTTGTAGGACGTTGTTTCACCGAAAGGTCGACCCATCTTTTCAGTAGCTTCAAGCAAGAGTTTTGACCACTTATATAGTGCCGTATCAGGAGACATCGTTCCATCATCAGAGGTTGGGGGAAGGATGTCCACGACTTCCATCCAGCCACCTGGATTCAGATGCGTGAAGCTTTGTCCGAAGAACCGCGGCCAATTGGCGAGTGAGACAGTCATAAACCTGGTATAGATATAGTCAAATGGCTCTGAGAATGTCCAATCATCCTCCACGTCATCAATCTGGAACTGGACGTTAGGCGGCACGAACGAAGGCTGGATTGGGCTCAAATCAATACCAATGACAGTCGTTTGAGGATGATCATCAGCAAAGTCAATTGCCCAGCACCCTGTACCTGTGCCGATGTCTAATACCCGTCTCACAGGTGTCTCACCCTCTCTAAAGATGGGCGCAAGGAATAACTGGTTGTCGAATGTGAGGAGACAAAGCGCATGCTGAAGATCCAGGCGGTCCTGTTCCGAGTTATCGTTTGGGCCGACGTAGATACCATCCTTGTAGGCATGATATGATCTGCCATTCTCAATTCTGTATTTGTAAATGGTAGAGGCGATCGAAGCTGTGGAGCTCCCAGTATCATTTTCGCCCAGGGCTGAATCATTGTCGGTGATGTTCCCCTCATCTGCCTCGAGTTGACCAGCGGGCTCTAGTGGCGCTGTCTGTTCATGGGGGGATTCCTTCGGAGAAGGGGATTTTGACGTTGGAGCTGACCCTGCCATGCCTACAAACTGTATAGAATAACTTGAGCAAAGTTCACCTGTGATTTGGACAGGGAAGCATGTCTTTTCAAGTGGAGGTGAGATATTTTGACAGCTGGCATATGTCAAAAAGCGAGGGTTGGCGTCAGCTCATGAGGGGATAACCCGGTCAAGACGCCCTATGCATAACCCTGCAGTAGCGTACAGCCATGGACTTTAGCCCCGGCGAATCATCGACAGGGGGTTAGTGGTTCCCCGAGACATCCAATGCATTGAGTAGAGTTCAGTAACTTCTTACTGACTGCTAAGGCAGCGACTTATTTCATCATTGAAGGCATTCACCATCGGCATCGCAGTGCTGTAAACATTTTCCGGTAACCGATGTTGTTTGCTTTGTTGGTCTGGACTAATTCGGCTCTTTCTGAAGCTGCAAGACCTGTATCTCCCTCAAAGCGATTGGTTCAGCCCCAAACTATTGGCTTCTAGTCTTGTGAGGCGCGTGATCGGCCGCGAGCGATTGGATACATCTTCAGCCACAAATTTTCGTACTGGGGCAATCAGTGGCAGATTTTTGTTTTTGTTATTTTTCTATGCCGGTTCGCTTTTGTATTTTAGGCTCGGATCATGGCCCGATATGCTGCAATGGACATGAAAATGCGGGCGTAAGGGATGAGATAGAAGAATCGTCGAATATGACGCTAGATACTAGGCATCTGTTGTCGTGTTTCCCATTGTTGTAAAGTCATCAAGAGTTGCCTCCGTGAGACCTAAATAGTGAATAAAAGGTCAAAAGCATTGATGCTTCTAATATCGCTTACAAGGCCAAGCCACTATAAACAATAGTGCTCAATAGTGGCACACCGCTCTGAAAAAGAAACATGTTGAGGTTAATAATTAAAGGAGGAGCAATGGAATAAAGTTGGTCTAACGCCCACTGACGTACGAAGGAGAATTTCCTTTCTCTCGCTGTATTCCCGTCGCTCATTCTTCATCCAACCATTGTCACTCGTTTAAACATGGTTTCGTCTAAACTTCTCACGGGCGTGTTAGCCATGTTCGCCGCCAATGGCGTCAACGCTGGGCCATGCCGACCTTCTTCCTCCACTGTTGACATAACGGCCACTGCCGACACCACCACTGCTGAGACATCAGCTATCACTGTTGGCGAGACTCTCGCCGAGTCCCTTACTGGTCTCAGCTCGACCGAGACTGCTACCGCCGATGGTACCACTGAGACACTCTCCGTTTCGACTGAGACTTTAGCTGCTATCGATAGCACCACGACCGAAGAACCAACTTCAACAGTCGCTGCCTCCACCACGACTTCAGCTGCTGTTCCTGAGTGCGCCACCAACGCCGACTGTGACGGAGCAACTCCCTTCTGTGACGTAGGAACATGCGTTGCTACTGATCCCAACGCCGAGTGTTCTACAAACGCAGACTGCAATGCTCTCCATGGAAGTTCCGCTCCTTTCTGTACTTCTGCAGGAAACTGTGTCGGGTGTCGTGGAGATGGAGATTGCTACGGTGAAACACCCTACTGTGACGGCGGCTTTTGTAACGATTACATAGGCCATATTGGATTCGGACGTTAATACGCCTCGCTGAGCTTCCATAAGCTTTAAGATAGATGTATTGGCTCACTCTCATGCACAAGCCTTCTGTACGCTTCTTGACCATCTGTCTGGGCTGGCTCAAGCTTTGAAGCCGCGTCTGGAGGTGCAAATCTGTTTCTATTAATGTCCATGGCTGAAATTCTCTTCCGCCCACCAAAGGTAAACCTAGGCTTTGCGTGGAGATTATGGCTCTTACCAAGTTCGTCTTCTATTACTACTCACTAGCTGCTCAGATGTTAATTCAAACCAAATCTGATGCAACGCGTAAAGGGACACTGTATGTGATACATGACCATCTGCAAGTTGTGACCCGTAGCCGGAGCCCACTGGCGGTTACTCACTTGGCCGAGGACTGAAGTCAGTGACTATGTCAGGATCATATACAAAATTACCATCATCAATCCAATGTTTTAATGGCTTCTCAGCTACTAGGATCAAGATCTCTCTTTCAAATTCTGTGTTCAGAAGATATGTGAAGAAGATAAAGAACACATCCTACCACAGGCAGCCAATACGCTTCGCTACGGGAACATGACTAGGGTAAAACAATGGATGCCGCCTGAGCAATAAGTTGACGAAAAATTCCATGCTTCTCATCCAGAAATTAAAGTTGGCAAACTTCTTGAACGCCATAAACGATGTCATGACCATTGAGATATTCGTGGACCGAAGGGCCGTAAAACTGGAGAAGCAAAAGCGTACTGCATTTTAGACACACGCGTAAGGGCCAAATTTCTCAGGTGAGTAATCAGCGTGCTTGCAGTTTGGTCAATCCAGGTCGTAAAGGAAAGTCACTGATTATGCTCAGTCTGTGATTGCAATATTCGCTGCCGTCAAATATCTGACCTACATCACTAACTTTCTTATTCTCATTCACATACTTCTCTGCTACCCATTACTGAATAACAACAGTGTTGCACAGTATCACGATTACAACAAGGCCTAGTATCATAGTGAAGATGTTGTCTGCAAGATCCAGGGGTCGGACAATTATGGACATATAAATAAGGCCACCATGAGCGCTTCCATCAACGTATACTAAACCAAAAATGAAAAGAGACCATTTCAATCCAACAAAGACTCACACATAACCGAGAAAGCACAATGGCGGGCTCCAAGGCCAAGAAGGACTTAGTCCAGTTACCTGAAATGCCCAAAAAAGTGAAATTCTGGGTATGCATGCAGCACAAAAGAAAGAAAGAGGATTGTGAGAAGTACAATGACATGAAACTCAAGCAATGTCGAGAATGTGGTGCTAGGCGCGATGCTGGCGATATACCGACCACTGATATGGGGGTGGAGTTAGGAGTACTCGATTCTGTTGACAACAAGACTGGTGAAGAGCATTGGCTTTACGACTCGGGTCTTCTTTAAGTACCAGATTGCCTAATTTCAGATAAATAAGCAGGTTTTACTTAAATCACTACATAACTACAGCTTGCATTCGTGACATTATATTTATGTGAAAATGGGCGCGGCTTTCAGAAATCATGCAACGTTGAAAACAGCATCCGTGCTTCTAATCATAGCTAGAACTATTGGTAATACTTAATTGAGTTGAAGAGCCAGTATGACTCCTTGAAGGCCTCGGGATGGTTGGTGACATAGTCATCACAGGTCTTAGATCCAGTAGAAGCCTTGCACTCTTCGTTCCAAGTGCCCTGATCGATGTTATCTCCACAGAACGCAGTGTTGATAATCTGACTCTGATTAGCATATGGTTATCTGTAACGACTAGTAGACTTACAATAGTCTGCCCCTTGAAATATTTTCCGACGTTGCAGCCTGAACCACTGAGGAATTGTGAAGCGGGAGTGCCCCATTTGCTGGGATCGGGGTTTCCAGACTTGATGTCTGCAGGGATGCTCTGACGGTTGAACCAGTAGATCTTCAGTGCATCGGATTCGAGCCAGACTGCGTAGACACCTCCCTTGCCCTTGTTGAAGGCTGAACCATAGGAACCAGAAGCGTGAGTGCTACCGCAGCCATCACTGAGAGTACAGATTAGCTTCTTGTCCTGTATCATGTTAAGCAAGACTAACTAGTTCGTGCCGTCCTCGCATTGCTCGGACTCAGTTCCGCCGTTGTTGCAGTTAGGGCGCTCGTCCAGACCACCAATCTTGGTGAACTTGCAAGCACCGCACGTGTGCAAAGAGACCACGTTTTGGCTTTGGTCGTTGATTCCTTCGATGATGTCAATCTCACCAACGGGGTCCTCGTCAAAGTTGTACGACCAGCTGCGACAAGTATTAGTTCATCACGCCCGGTGAAGACATCCAAAGATATGGAACTCACAAGGATGGCCAAACACCACAAGCAGTACCAGGCATGTGCTCAATGTCGGCAATCAGAAGGCCGTTACCATAAGTAGCCTTGGACTCCAGACGGACACTGTCTCTGCCATGTCTGGTCTTGCTTGAACCGAGAAGTTTAGCCTTGTTCACAGAGTCAACGCCGACGTAAACTTGGCCGTTGGTTGTTTTGGCAAGACCGGCAGATTGAGCTTTGTTTTTGCTCAAGTAGTTGACTGATCCGTGAGTGGGATCACCTCCGTAGGAAGGGTCAATAGTATCGTAGTAGGCAGCCTGACTTGTCAGAATTGTCTCGCTAAACTTTGAAGTCAAGAACGTACATCTCTGAAGTAAAATTGATCAAAGAAGTTGCTGGAGTCGTAAGTGGTCTTGAGAGAGAACTTGCGCGTAGCCCGGGCACAAGAGGCATGGCCGGAGGCCGCCACCATCAACAACGTGAACAAAGATGAATGCATCCTGAGTCTTGTGAAGAAAACGAAGTGTAGCGGGCGATGAATCAAGATCGTCGCTGGGATGGCTCAGCTTTACATACCAAATGCCGTAGCTGAAAGGATCACCACACGGCCCGATCCTCAGCGAACCGTGGTTCAAACCTACCTCCGCCATTCGCTGCTTCGCATCGGAAACTATGCTCGAGACAAGCGTATTCACAAGCGCCATCCTTCGCTATGCACGTGCCTGAGTTGTCACTAACAGCACAGCGAGCAAGGGTTATTAGTGCTTAGAATAACGGGGCTGAGTGGTCCTTTGGAAAATGAGCAAATTTGATTCGGGGCAGTGCCAGTCATACGACGTGAGGCCATTATGTTCCTTCGAAAATATTAGGACTTGAGGAATTGTTCGAGACTATAGACCTGATGATTCTGTGGTGAAAGCACGGAATGTGTTGCACGATATGATATAAGTCGCATAAACGATATAGCCAGCCAGTCGCGATGGACTTGTGTGCGACGTATGTGTATGCATTGCGGAAGAACAGTTCATTCCAGCCTGATCTGGTTCCTGGTTCGGCCCTACTAGATCCGGGATTGTTTGTGGTGGTTGCGTAGGGCTAGCCTGGACGGGAGGCTTGAACTAAACTGTTGAACGGAATGGTCTGGAAGAACTCAATGTTAACGTTGCATATTCCCACGCATCAATATGGCTCAGCATAAGTGCCTGGGATGCCTGGTCATACAGCGTATAGGATCAATTGTACATGATCTGATGACTCTGACCGCCTTCGGTGTAGCCTGTAGGACTCAGGAGGCTGTCAACTGAGCGTATGTGTAAAAATTCCAAATAAAAAGTGAGGAATGATCTTTAAACAGAACCCTTTGACAGATCTGATGAGAATACGGATAAGAACCGTTGGAAAACATGTCTTGGTTGTGCTTGGCAAAAAGATGGTGTTGAAGGACAAAAAACGTGGTTCCGCCCGGGATCGAACCGGGGACCTTCTCGGTGTTAACGAGATGCCATAACCAACTAGACCACGGAACCTAGCTGTTGTTGAGATTTTGGCAGAGAATTGTGTGTCAGGAACCTGAAACGAAACGACTCGGTCTACGGAGTAAAGAGACGGCAACCCTCTTAAAGATCCTGTGGAGTAGCCATGGACCCTGGCTTACCAATTCGTTGTTTGCCTGCAAGGACGGAGCTGGATGGAGGCGTTTCGTGTCAATGTCCGGACTTTTTGCTTGAGTGACGCGTCACTGTCAAGTACAGTCTCCAGCGGGATTCCGACTCCATGGATTTGTCCTACCCTGTAGTGGCTCAATTAATTGAAGAGTTAGAGCCATGTTGAGAAGCAACACCATTATTTTGCAGCTAAAAAGAATTGGTCGATGTTTAAGTGATTTTATTTTAAAAGATGAATCGACTTTTGTTCTGACGCTTCATGTTGATATACACCTATGATGTTGTCATTACTTTGCTGTACTGTAGTAGACATCGATGATGGACACAAATGGCCCATGACCCCAGAGAAGTCTATTCACTCTGACATCTGCTGGATCAAAGCATATCTTAACTCCGGGACATTGCTAAGATTGGATACTACGTAAAGGATCTCCATCTGGAAGTCTCGAATCTAGATACGAGAGATCTACCCTGTGTGCTTAACAAGCGCATCATGCGATAAGCAACAGGAGTTCACGATTCAGCGAGTTCCGTCTCCAGGGAGAAGAGCTGGGTTAGGCGAAACCTGTGCCTCGGGACCGAGGGATTGCTAAGCTGAAACCGGATTTCGGGAAAAGTCATGACGCAACTCCGTGGCAAAGAATTTTTAGCACAAATCTCAACCAATGAAACTATTTTCGCAAAGTTTTCGTACTAAAGTCCATGGAGTTTCCGCGGAGGACGTCATGACGGACTCAAACAGCTCTCCGAAACAGTCAAATTACGTAGAAAACGTACATCATCGAACTCAAAACATAAACTCGTGCATTTGGGTAGTAAAAGCTACCTCGCAGATATCATAAACCCGCGCAGTTTCCGCATGTTACCAATCCAAAGTAAAAAAACATCCATATCAAGGGCCGGGGTTTATATGTTTACGGCCGAAAACCCGTTCCGGGTCCGACAGGCTAAGAGAGATGGGCCGAGGCATAACCATAACGAGATAAAGGAGTAACCCAGAAGGTTCTAGCCTCTCGCCTGGTGATATCATCCCTTGCCGGATTTAACGTAAGGACCCAGTCACCACGAGAAGCCCAAACCTGTATGGGGACTTACGGCCGGTCGGCGGATCCGACGAATCCATGCCATGGAATTGAAGAGATTTGAACTCCTTAGTCGTTAGTCGTGTTCGTTACGTCGTTGATTAATAAAAATTTCTACCGTTTCGATGTGGAACCTTCCCTTGTCTTTGTTTATAAACTACCTTGGCTCCCCGAGTCACCGGTGATTGACATAGATCTTGTCTCTCACACCACAGATCGTAATAACACTAACCGACGCGGAACACCAAACGTTATTCCACAGCCTCGATCGGTGATTAGATTACGACAATAACGATGAGCGACGCGGAAAACATTGAAGTCCCTGCGCGGACAAGAATACCCTACTGGCGATTGGTCGCTGACCAGGCTGGCATCACACCAGAGGTTCGAGATTACAAGTACGATGGCTCAGGTACTGAGGAAGATCCCTACCGTGTGAAATGGATTCCCAACGATCCCCGAAACCCTATGACTTTCAGCTTGGTCAAGAAATGGTTCATCACCATGACCGTTGCTCTCACAACCCTTGCTGTCGCGCTTGTATCGTCGGCTTACACAGGTGGTATCCGTGAGATCATCATGGAATTCCACATCAGCCAAGAGGTAGCTACCCTGGGTGTGTCACTCTTCGTCTTGGGTTTCGCAATTGGTCCCCTTCTCTGGGCCCCTCTCAGTGAGATGTTCGGTCGTCAATACCTCTTCATCGGTACCTATGCCGCCCTCACTGCCTTCAACTCTGGCTGCGCCGGCGCACAGAACGCCCAGACCCTCATTGTTCTCCGATTCTTCGCTGGCGCTTTTGGCTCATCGCCTCTCACCAACGCCGGCGGTACCATTGCCGATATGTTCCCTGCTTCCCAGCGTGGTCTCGCCATGGCCATCTTCGCTGCCGCTCCCTTCCTCGGTCCCGTCCTTGGTCCCATCATTGGTGGTTTCCTCGGTATGAACGCCGGCTGGCGCTGGGTCATGGGCTTCCTCGGTGCCTTCTCTGGTGCCCTCTGGATCGTCGGTACCCTCTTGGTCCCTGAGACATACGCCCCTGTTCTTCTCCGACAACGTGCGTCCAAGCTCTCCAAGATCACAGGCCATGTCTATGTTAGCCAGATTGATTACGAGCGTGGTAAGATTACTCTTACCGAGTCTTTCAAGACTGCCCTGTCGCGACCCTGGATCCTGCTTTTCAAGGAGCCTATCGTCCTTCTCCTCTCCATCTACATGGCTATCGTTTACGGTACCCTCTACATGCTCTTCGGCGCTTTCCCTATTGTGTATCAGCAGAACCGTGGCTGGAACTCTGGTGTCGGTGGCCTGGCCTTCCTTGGCATCATGGTCGGCATGCTTTTGGCCATCGCATACACCATCCCCCAGAACAAGCGCTACATCAAGATTGAGCAGAAGAACGGTGGCTTCGCCCCTCCCGAGGCTCGTCTCCCCGCCTGTCTCATCGGTTCCGTCTGTCTGCCTATCGGTCTCTTCTGGTTCGCCTGGACCAACGACCCACACATTCACTGGATGGCCAGTATCGCTGCCGGTGTACCCTTCGGTTTCGGCATGGTTCTTGTCTTCCTCAGTGTCATGAACTATCTCATTGACTCCTACACCATCTTCGCCGCCTCTGTCCTGGCCGCCAACTCCGTTCTCCGATCTCTCTTCGGTGCCGCATTCCCTCTCTTCACATCCTACATGTACAAGGATCTCGGTATTCACTGGGCTTCTTCAGTCCCTGCTTTCCTCGCCCTGGCTTGCGTTCCCTTCCCCTTCCTCTTTTACAAGTACGGCGCTTCCATTCGCGAGAAGTGCAAGTTCGCCGCTCAATCCGCTGCTTTCATGCGCAAGCTTCAAAACGACGCTGCTCCCGAATCTGAGGAGGAGAAGAACGACGAGACTGTTCCCGAGGAGGAAAATTTCGACGACGATGCCTCAACAGAGGTCGAAGAGCCTGCCTACGCTCCTATCACTGCTAGCAGGACACACCACTCTGTACGATCGCACGCCTCTCGTGCATCGCGCGCGTCGCGGGCTTCTATGGCCTCGCGTCGCAGGTCGTATGAGGGTAACCCTTACGACATTGACAGAGTCAACACTAAGCAATCATTCACATAATCATCTCATAAAAGTTGTTACTGGGGCTGGAAACCCGAAAATTAATTGGTGGCATCATAGCGTTTAATTTTACTATAGACTTTACTTCAATCTACTTAATACCCCTTTCATCATCAATCACATTTATTGTATTCTTGAGTTTCTGAGCCACCGCCGTGTCGTTTTCGTGACACAATGAGATCGCCGTTACTTGTCCACAAATGTGAAATCATCAACGTAACCCTCAAGCTGTTGAACCCCGCTGCTGAATGCTTAATTGCAGCCGATGAACCGTAAAGAAGTTTCTAGGGCTTTGCGCCTCAATAGAAAAAGGTGAGCCTCTACCGCTGGACGCGAGCCTGGGCACAAACATAATTCCCCGCTGCTGCAGATGAGTCATCAAAAGCCTCGGTTCCGTGGTCTAGTTGGTTATGGCATCTCGTTAACACCGAGAAGGTCCCCGGTTCGATCCCGGGCGGAACCACGTTTTTTTTGCTGTCGTCTCGCTTGATGCTAAATATTTTTGCTGAAACCGCGTCTCCCTGGGGTCACTATCAGCGAACACATCATTTGGAAAGATTGGAAGCATGCAGATGGTGGAAATATCCTTCTATTGTATTTAACCTCACCTCGATCCTGTTTACCCTCTAGGTGGTTTCGCTAATACATATCTTTGTCTGGACTTGGTTCTCCAGTGCATCAACACTTATCGCTCTGCTGAGCCTCACTTGCTGCCTCACTACTGATTTCCTCTACCTTTACTGGCTTTGGTTTGATGAAAACAGCCGAGATAAGCATCAGTCCACACAGAGCAGTATAGAATGCCCACATAACCCGTAAACCGCTGACATACCCATGCTTGTCAGTCTCACCCTGCGCCTTATCACTAGACACAGCAGTCAAGTTACCACCGTGAACAGTACGCTGGATCAAAACCGTTCCAACAACAATTGATATTGAGACAAAAAGACCACGCATGAAAGTGTATGCTGACATAGTCGCCGCCATATCTCTCTGGCGGACGTGCGTTTGGAGAGCGATCATAGGGTTCTGGAAGAGCACACCGCAGCCAAGACCTGCGATGACCTCGGCGATGACTAGTTTCGGCCATTCCTTGCGCTGACCAAGGCTAATGAACAGACCAATTCCCAAAGTCATCAGTGCGGCACCAACCAAGATAATAAGCTTGTAGTCGCCGGTTTTTCTCACGATTAGACCTCCAACGCCGGTTGAGATAGACATCGGGAGGATCAGAGGGAAAAGCGTGACTCCAGATATGATCGGTGAAAAGCCCAGAACTACTTGGAAATACAGAGGCAAGAAGTAGTCGCAAGCGATGAAGATGAACGAGTGAAGGTTGGCGACGGCGAAAGCGGCGATGTTCGTGGTGTTCTGGAAGATTCTGATAGGAATGATGGGATTTTTGGCAAAATTTGCTTCCCAGACCATGAAGAGAGCCAAGATGACGACTCCAAAGACCAAAAGGCAGATAACGAAAGCAGAGTTCCAGGGTGCGAGTCCACCTGAGCCAGCTTCAAGCCCGTAAAGGAAGCAAATGGTGCCGCCAATAATGAAAGCAAAGCCAGGCCAGTCGAGGCTGCGAAGCCCATCGACAAGCGGTTCTTTCTCGATGTCGACCTTGAGCAAGAAGAACAGTCCGATGAGTGCGATACCCTCGAAGGGTAAGTTGATGTAGACTGGAAATGTCAGTAGCTATCCGCAACGGGGTCCGCGATATCTACCTACAACACCATCTCCATGTCACTGTCTGAGAGAAGACACCACCCAGTACGGGTCCAATGGCTCCAGCCACGCCAAACACTATTCCTGTTATGCCATAGTATTTGGCACGATCCTTCAGAGGAAACAGATCTCCGATCAGAATAGTTATTAGCACCATACAGCCGCCGCCTTAGTCCAGTTAGCAAGTTGATGTTGTTGTTTGGTAGAGAGTACATACCCCCAAGGCCCTGAACAGTTCGTCCTCCAATTAACATGCCGCTTGAGCTTGCCAAAGCACAGATGAGACTTCCAGCCATGAAAAGGCCAGTGGAAGTCATCATACTGGCCTTGCGACCGACGATGTCAGACACCTTTGCCCAAACTGGCGTCACCGCCGTCGTGGACAGAGTGTATGAGGAGCCAATCCAAGCATATTCGCGAGCTGATACATCAAGTTCTTTACCAATGGTGGGAAGCGCGGTCGCCAAGATAGTAGTATCCAACGCACAAAGGAACAGCGTCAAACAAAGTGACAGAACAACAAGACGACGCTGAAGTGTCTTCATCGGTGGAGGCTCGTACGATGCACCCGTGTCAACGGGCTGGAGGCGTGCGCCCACAGACACCTTCTCGTTTGGCTGTTCATCTTGAGATGGCTGTGACTGTTGAGGCTCTGACATGATACGCGTGATGTTACAGCCGAGAAAGTGATCGAACAGGAACTCATGATTTTGTAAACAGGAGAATATTGAACGAACCACTTCTTCGAGATAAGGTAGCGTTGGTTCGGCTCGCTTTCGGTTCGGGATGTAGATTCCGGGAGGGTTGCATGATCTTCGTAATATCGTGCCGATGAGAAACGGCCATTGGAAAGTGTGCGATTGGCTTGTGAGACAAGACGAAGGAGAAAAGGTTTGGACGATTATTGTTTGATGGTGAAAGAGGCTGTGGGCGTGGAATCCGTTGAGCTGGGAGAGAGCTGGATCTTCTTCGTTTTGGGCAACACGGTGGACGGAGCTACCAACCCGATGCGCCGTGGACTCATGGACATAAATGCACTCAAACTTTTGGCGATGCTACTCAAGACTTATCCTAAAGTAATAAACTGAGATAAACTACTCAAACCTTCTATGTGATAATGCTACTCTACCGTGTATTTGGGATGGAAGGCTCTAACTTTATTTTGACCGTTGGGTTACCCTTGTGAACCCAATCGGAGTGCTGAACCTTTAGGGTACGGGCCTGAACGCGAGAAGAGCAAACGCGCAACAACAATGGGAAGGCAAACCAGAAAAGAGGAAGATTGCAACATCTAAAACAGGACATATCGCACGGATTGTTTTCATCTAGAAGGTAGAAATTTGTCGATAATCAGGCTGATGTCTTGGTGGTTGGCCCTGTTCGGGTTCACTTGGCGATGCCTGTTTGGTCGCTTCTACGCATTCAGGAGCATCGCCATGTCTACAAATTCTATTCCGATAACCAGCGTATTTTCCACGATCTCTCAAGCCACGACTTTCTCACACAACCGGATGAGAAGGTTGTCCCCACTTGTGACAGAATTGAAGTCATGACCGCGTGTGTCAAGACACTGTGAGTCTGGCCAGCCGTGTCGCTGGTCTTGAGAGGTATGCCGACCCTCAGGAGTGGAGGCTCAGCGACCTCAGCGCAAGCCTTCCAAGGCTCTCCTTAGACGATGCAAGAAAGGGTGATTTGGGGCGACTGACATGATTAGATAAGCTTCAAACGAGTTCAGGACAAATAAAGCCTCAAGTTTGACCAGTATTTCTGCATCTCATCTGATCGTGAGTGTTGAGTCGCGTCGCACCTCAAAGCGGCCAACCTCGACTCTCAGCGAAAGGCCTGGCTTACTCCTCGATTCGGTTCACAGGTTGACCTTTTCCGAACCGAATCGAGCCGAAGTTTAGCGACGACGCCTCCTCAACGACTCAAGAGCTCATCTCCAATGAAAACGAGCACAACTGAACATGACCAAGTTAACACTGGGCCTCGAACTTCGTGGGGGCCATCTAGTCTCTATTAGGAGACCCCAGAGTCTACCCCGCGAGAAAATATTCCTCTGATCTGAAGCCGCGACTGTCTTCCGCGATTCGGAGATCCCCAGGCATGCGGGGAACATCTTTTTAGTGCACTGTACCCCGGACCTTCAGTGCGATAGCGCCCTGTGTCATGGTTATCTGCGGGGGATACAAATTGTTGACGACACCCTCGGTGAACGTCTCTGCGAGACGCAGAATCTTTGCCTGAGCTCACAGTCTCACTCTGTTGTTGCCGTCAATTGAACCAAGCCTCGAGTTGTTAGATTTGAGACTCTGAGTCGCGGGCCTAAAAGTGATTATCTCGTCAAAGAGCCTTCTAAGTTCATCCTGAATTATCACAAAATTGTCTGAATCTTTTCGTCCCTTAGGATCGCAGCTTCAAGTTTCCTGCCATTCCCTGTCTTCCTACCAAGATGGATACAGTATCACAAGAGCAACCTCTCTCACCGAGACCGCCGCGGTCAAAACGAGGTCGTCTATCACTAGCTTGCACACAATGTCGCAAGCGAAAAGTGCGATGCGACGCGACAACGCCCAAGTGCCGCAATTGCGTTCTTCGCGGCGACGAGTGCGAGACCTTCGATCCAAGAAGACCCAATGGACCGGCTGTGCGCAAATGGCCACACAAGAGCTCACAGAGCACATCTACAATATCACCGATCCAGCGCCGGGCCTCAATTGCGACTGCCAGCCAACAGAGCTCTCCCGCTTCTTCGATCGTGGGGTCGCAACATGCAGGGAACAAAGAGAGGAACCCATCGTGGATTGAGCGCGCATACCAGGAGAGCCAAAGCACGCCAGATAGTGGTACAGATGTGCAGACGAATGACAGTCCTGACGTGGTCATGAACACTGATGAGTCGTCTCATCGCATCAAGGTCAGTATTCGGGCTTCGTCTCACAGCTGCATACTAATTGACCTTGCAGTACATGGGCTCCAGCAGCCTACAATGCCTCACCCGATTCATCGATCTTTTCCTCCAGCGACGCGGATTTGACCCAATTGGAAGACACTTCCGATGGGGGATGTGCTTCACAGAAGAATACGCATTGCCATTAGTACCAATCCTCCCAGATCTTCCCAGCATGTCGGTCATGGAGCCCTGCTTGAAGAAATACTTCAGTCGCACACACCCCCTCGTCCCCGTTCTCGATCATACAGCTTTCATATCCGACGTCTTACGATTTTCCGAAATACAACAGACATCCCCGACTGGGCTCCAAGGCGCGATGACTTCAGTCGATGCGCCAGCCCTTGTCGCAGTGTACGCTGTGCTGAGCATCGGTATGGACGATCACGAAGGCCAAATATCGCCAACAGCAACTGGCTATCTCACTGGGGCTTATTCCCTAGTGAGTCACCTGCTGAGCTTCCCATATATGAGCTCGGTACAAGCGCTTGCGTTACTCGCAGTCGCAATGCGTGCAAGAGGTAATTAGTCACTCACATCCCCAGACCATCTTCATCAAATTCCTCACATGTTGAGATCATTCTCATCAAACTCATCACATCCTTAAACCAATGACACTGACTCTTCTTACAGGGAAGGACGGCCAATGCTGGCACCTCCTTGGCCAGGCTATACGAATTGGCTACTCAATAGGCTTCCATCGCAAGATCGTCATATCGAATCCGAACGAAGATTCCGGCAACCAAGTCGACCGACAGTTGCATTCCCGGGTCTGGTGGGCATGCTATGCTTTAGAGAAGTCCATGCAATTGGAGACCGGTCGGCCGAGCGCTATTGAGATCACAGATTGCGACCAACCGCTGCCTGACAAAAACAGCGGCCTCGATCCCTGTTTTATCAGATGGGTGTCGCTCTCTTTGCTAGTGGGTAAAATTAGCGAGCACATATTTCAGCGCAGAGCAGAGACCGCTTTGGAGTTCCTGTCTGGCATCTCGGAGCTGGATCAGGCCCTTGTAGATTGGCTTGACGAGGCGTCGGAAGATGCGAAGACGAACCAAAATGCTGCCAAAAGCTCAGATGAGCGGTCATTTGCCGTTTTTCTGTCTCTGCAATTCCATCAAGTGAGTATCTTATATCTATGCAACACTGCTGTTACTAACGCATCTGCCTCAGGCTCAAATTACCCTTCTACGAGCATCTCTCCTCTTCCCCGAAGCTTCTTTCAGCAATGAAGTGCAAAAGCATGAGGCCAAGATTAGTACAACACGACTACTGCAAAGCCAAACAACCTGCGTGGAAGCCGCAAGGTCTATCATCACGCAAGTCGCGGAGTTTGCAGACTCACAGCCTGACTTTCTTCTACTGACGCCTACACCGACCTTCCTTGCTGCTACAACCCTCGCGCTTCAGACATTTAAGAAGCCTCACAAACGCATGGGCCGCAGTGATGGGGAGCTTGTACGCATCGCATCGGACTATGTGGCTGACTGTTATCGAAGAGTCGGGCAACACAGTGAATTCGTGAAAGGGGTGCTTGAGTTGACGCAGCGGGTGAACCAAGTCTTGTCGGGCGATAGTAGCTCTTCCGTTGATCAAACACAAAGGCCTCCACAGCAAGACTTGCAGACCACAAATAACGACCAGAGAATGTTATCACCGAATCAGTTCGGCGATGTCGGGACAGATTCGTTCGTGTTCGATCCGTTGGAGTACTTCCAGGATCCCTTCCAGGCTATGCCTCTGGATCACTTCTGGGCCGTGATGGAAAGCGATTTTGCCACGATTGGAGACCAGGGAATGTGCTGAGATGGCGCGTAAATAGTCCAAAAACTCCCAAAGCATATCATAAACTTACCTAAGCATTTTGTAACTTGGGATTATATACCCTGCGTAGTAATGAAATTGCGAAAGCGTCTGCTTTACATATCCGTGGCAGAAGATGCAACAGAGCCGCGAGACTTAGGTGACCTAGCAGAAGAATGGAACGTTTCAAAACAAAGCTGTAGGTCGTCAGCGGGTGCATGCCTGATATAAAACTCCAAATGCTCATCCTCGTCGGTATCATTCCATGCACACCGAGCCGAGCCGCTCGGACTCTATGACATGGGCTCATTCTGGAAGCTGATCATACGTGAGAGGTTCGGAAATTGCCTATCATCCTTGAAAGAGCTGTCACTCGGGTTACAAGGAAAACACTTGAGGAACAGTTGTCCATTCTTGTGATAACTTTATGATCCGCTTGCCTAAGCTTAGGTAAACTCAAACCCTAATTTTATACTAAGATCTAATAGGATTATGATGATGTCTCTCTAACTTATCTAGCAGTAATGAACTATTCTATTGGGAACATCTTCGTCACAGGTGACAGCCCGAGGCTCTTCCTACCCTGGTGAAATGCACAACGCAAACGTGAGTCATTCTTACACTTCATTCTCAACCGTTGTTGACATCGCCATAATCACATAGAGATGAGCTAAGATACTAGAATAATACCTCTCATACTGTAGTTATAACAAGTAGACTCTTGGACCTCGTATCAGCCAGTTCCTCTTGTACCAAATAATACCAGATAATCTCAACGAGATAGAATCGGATGCTTTGCATCCGGGCATGCACAGTCAGTGAAATCATGCCGTACCGTTATTATTTGGCAAGTAGACCATGTAAGTGACATCAGGGTCGTTTCCATGGAGTAATGTAGCGTAATGCGAGCCGCTGGAGCCTCCCATGGAATTCTTGATCTGTCAACCGTTAACGGGTCTCGGCGCGGGAAGCAGTGCTCTAGCCCAGTTGTGAGGCAAAATGCGCGACAAAG